CTCCACCAGACTGCCACAGCTTCTCAAATACAATGGATAGTGCCTTAGCCACTTCATCTGCCAGTTCTGTGAGGACCATGAGTGCATCTCATGAGGTCCCCTGGACTTGTGTACCTTCATGTTCCTGATATGTTCTCAAACATCATCTTTTATAGGAGGTGATTCTTCATTCTCCCAGTCCCTGCCTTTGCCCTGTGGCTGGAGCAATGCGGCTGGAGCACTTGCTGCTGAAGACCAAGGCAAAAAAGTTGAGTACCTCAGAAAGGACAGCTGGTAACAAGCACCAGGAGTCCAGACTAGTTAGGAGCCCAAGTGGCTTTAATCATGTTTAGCCTGTAGTATGTCTGAAATGCTGGGAAACAACTTTGCCAGTGACTCTTAAAAAGCAAAGCAAATTCTTGCTACTAAGCAATATGGCCAGTACATAAAGCCTTGGTTACAGGTTTGAAAAATGGGTTAATAACAGTTCAGGTTTAAGAGGACTGAGCAGAATATACTTAGCTACCATGTTCCAGGAAATGCCTGGGAGAGGAAATGCTGATGTGTCAGAGCAGTTGTGGAGCAGAGAATCACTAGCTACAAATGCTCCTTTAGTAACTTACTAGAAGCTAAAACCTGGTGTTTGTGACCATGAGATTATAGCAGCCCACTCTGAAAAAATATTTTATGTATTGCAGAATACATGATCCTGTGTTTTCTTTAGAAAAAGAATCTAAAGCTACGCTACCTACTCATTCCTGCTGCTGTTCCCTGTTCAGTTTGGGACACATTACAGTTAGTCGGCTTTCACCTTTTTCTTGGCAGTAGTTTATTTTCCTTTCTTTTTTTGCTGTCGTTTGTGAACTTGCAGGCTATTTCATGTACCTCCTGGTGTATTTGACAGGTTGTTTTAACAAGCACAACTTCACCTGTTTCTGAAATCTGCTAGTAGTTAGTTTGTAATCCTGTGACCTCAGCTCTCTAGTATGACTTGATAAATACAGCCACTCCACTTGGGTTCACGTAATGCACTGTGCTTGGTTGCCACATATACTTCCGTTTGGGGAAGATGTGCGGAGAAGCTCTCCAGCTTTGCTGTGTGCTCTTTAAGAGTGGTCAATAGCATTCTTGCACTCTAGCTGCTCTAAAATGGGACATTTCTGCCTTGTATGTCTCCTTTTCATGCCCTTTGGCAAAAAAGCTTTCAAACAACTCTGGAATAGCTAAAATCAACAATGATCCGCCTGTTTAGACAGAGCCAGTTGGTATAAGATGTCCCTGGCTAATGAATTTGCCCTTTCCTTCATGCCCACCAAAAGCATGCTAAAACCTGTTGCCTATTCACATGTCAAGTCTGGAAGAGTTTCTGATCAGAGAAGTTAATCTTTGTTTTGTCAGGTTTTAGCTGACAAGAATTTCCACAGATTCCCTGAGACTGGAAGTCTTTGACAGCTAAAAATTTAGCCCACTTGAAATGTGGGCCATGCAGCTGTCACTGTGACTCTGCGTGGTGCTTTATACTGATGCCGATTTGAGCCCTTGTAGGAAGACCCAGCAATAAGTTCTCCTTAAATGTAAGGATTTTCTTTGATGCTTCATGGTCCCAAAGAAAATACGATGGGGAAAGGGTGAGGGGAGGGGTATTTAAGAAGGGTTTCCAGGTTACAGAGTGAAGGAAACTAGCACTACTGTCAGGCAGTACAGGGTGACTGACATGAAACACCTTTTCTTAGATTACAAATAGATTGAATACAAGAAGTTATGTTGGTGTCCTCAACATAAAAAGGACATGGATCTGCTGGAACAAGTCCAGAGGAGGGCTACAAGGATGATCAGGGGACTGGAGGACCTTCCATATGAAGATTGGCTGAGAAAGTTGGGGCTGTTCAGCCTGGAGAAAAGAAGGCTGCGTGGAGACCTCATAGCAGCTTTCCAGTATCTGAAGGGGGCCTATAGGGATGCTGAGGAGGGACTCTTCATTAGGGACTGTAGTGATAGGACAAGGGGTAATGGGATAAAACTTAAACAGGGGAAGTTTAGATTGGATATAAGGAGGAAATTCTTTCCTGTTAGGGTGGTGAGGCACTGGAATAGGTTGTCCAGGGAGGTTGTGAATGCTTCATCCTAGGCAGTGTTCAAGGCCAGGTTGGATGAGGCCTTGGGTAATATGGTTTAGAGCGAGGTGTCCCTGCCCATGGCAGGGAGTTGGAACTTAATATCTTAAGGTCCTTTCCAACACTAACTATTCTATGATTCTATGTTTTTTACTGTGAGGGTGGTGAGGCACTGGAACAGGTTGCCCAGAGAAGTAGACGTATATTGTTTGTTGCCATCTACTCCCTTTTTTTAATATCTAAGTTACACTTGTCTTTTTCATCTGACAGTTCTGAACCATCTGTCTACCAAGGTACGACTGTAAAAATGTTTAAAGTTGGGTATTTTCAGCTGTCTCTTCAAAAAATGTGCACAATTTGAAGGTCTGTAGAGAAACTGATTTTTTTAAGTTCCAACAGATTAGACCTACTCAGAAAATTTTCTTGTATAAAATCAGTTTCACATTCTTGATACGGTACCAGGTTTTGAAAGAGGAAGCATTTTTTTATCTTCTTTGTTATCTAGAAGGAGGGTAGGAGGAAAAGACCGTGAAGATCAGAAGTTTCTTATAATAAGGGCATTTTTCCTATTAGAGACCACTTTTATTCATGCATTTGCAATTCCTGAGCAAAAACCCTTCTATTTTGCCTATACCAGTTATATTAAGTGCAGTTATATAGCATTTAATTCGATGCACAGGTACCAAGTTATCATTTTGCAATTTGACTCCCTAGCTTGTCACACAGTGAAGAGGCAGAATGAAGGAGAACAGGTCATCCCTTACTGTTAGTAGAGGAAGGTGTCACTTTTATCTCCCCTTTTAGTGTAACATTTCAAAGAAAGTTTTTTGTCAGCATTTTGCTGGCTGTAGGAGCTTTATCGTCTAAGCAGTATGAGCTGCTGGGAAAGCTCACTTAGGAACAAGTTAAATGTTATAATCTCCTGTAAACTATGTAGGTAATACTGCATTTTATGGCCTAGCCGTGTCGTACAGAGCTATTCTCTGTGTAACACACATGTTGAACATTAACTATTATTTGGGTACAGAAGGTGGAGTGTGCTGTTTCTGGTTTCTGTTGGGGGTGTGGCAGTCGAAGATAAACATACTGATAGTTAATGCCATAAAGCAAGCAACCAGAAGTAGAGAGATCATAGGGCATCAAATCAGTTGTTCCTAGTTTTATGAATTTCTCATGTCTTGCTGTTTCTTTTTTGTTGCTTTGAAGGGTTTTCTCCTCATTTGAGGAGAATGAGTTTAAATTCTGTTGTGTTTTGGTATGGCTTCTTTTAACAAGTGGTGAATTGACTGTGTATCAGAAAATGTGTTCTGGACACTTTTTAGCAAACTTTGGTTTATAGCAGTTATTGTACATCTAAAGATGATTTCTTAGGAAGCTATTGCTATAAGGAGCTGTTGTAGTCGCAGTTCCTTTAAGAATGTCTGTTGCTTGCCTCTTGCCCTCCCAGATCAATCAAGCAGTACCTTACAATGATAAATTAGTGATTGATTTAAGTTTTTTTGCAGCTTGTTTTAATGGAGCCTCTAATACTGCTCCTGAAATTTGGTAAGATTTGACTTCTATGCTTCTGCTTTGTTAGTTTAAAACAAACAAGCAAACAAAAAACCCAAACAAAACCCCACCAAAACCCCTCAAAATTTGATATGTACAACTAAGCTTGCTTGGTCTTTTTTGAAAAACAGAGTAAGATTAAACTCTTCATCTTGCCTTTGCTGAAGAAGACAGATCTTACACAGCTTGGAGTCCTGGATAACAGTTCTGCATCTTATGATTGATGCTGCTTTTATGCAGAAGACCAAACTAATGGAACTGAATGCTGTTCAGTTCTTCAGCTGAAATCAATGAATTTTGCTGCATTTTGGGATGAAGTGTGTATGCCTAATATGTTACAGCTTTAAAAAAAAAACAACCTCAAAGGTGTATGAGGGACAGGAGGCACAAAAGTGTTTCCAGATCTGTACTTTCCTGTATAAAATATGTCTGTAGCTTTGGTTTCTTTACTGAGATTTATCATTATCTCATGTATGTTTAGGGGGTTTTGTGCTCAGGAACTTGAAAACTTCCTTCCCTAAGTAACTCAACAGGGTTTGCATTAAAACTTGTTTTGTTATTCCCTCTTAATCCTACCCACCTGTAACCTCCAAGCTTTGCCTCTTCTAGTGGTTGAAGCTGAAGCACTGGGTATCTAAATTCTTGACTTAACCTCAGAACAATTATACAGGCCAATACAGGCTACCTTTAGGATCAGCTAACTTTTCTACTAGTACTGTAGCCCATGATTGGGGTTAGTTTTGTTTCCATGCCTGTATGTTTCAGATGGCATGGCAAGTAACAATTATCGACTTCTTTCTTTTTTCCTTTTTTGTTTCTCCGTTTAAAGGTTGTAACAGTTATTACAGTTAGGAACACTACTGAAAGATTCTTATCAAATTCCATTAATTTTCCTCAAAGTGCTGCTCAGGTATTCAAGCTGTCCATAATTTATGTTGCAGCTGGAGTGGCGTTGTGGCACTGCATGGCTGCAGATTTCGGGCAGATGTCAAACAAGCTTTTCCTGGAGAATTTGGCTTTCTGAGGTTTAAAATGCAGGCTCTGTGACTTACAGGATATAAGCCTTTCTTTTCTCTCCAGTACTTTTGAGTTACAGTGAGCTTTGACAGTTTTCTTTGAGAGTGACGTCTAATGCTGTTGGAATAGCTGCAGATAGGAACCATGTGTCACTGTGTCTTTCTTGAAGAAAATAAATGTCAACACAATTCTTTAGAATAATTAGTAATTCTATTTAGATATTGTTTTCTATTGTACATCTCCTCTTCCCCATTTGAACTTAAACCCAAACAAACAAACAAACCCACACCTACTGACAAAAAAAACAAACAAAACCAAAACCTTTGTTTTCTGTTACAGAAAAATGCAAAAGGACAGGAGTTGTTTGACCAGATTGTATATCATTTGGACCTTGTGGAAACTGATTACTTTGGCCTACAATTCATGGATGCTTCCCAGGTTACAGTGAGTATAACTTGGTTATTTTTGTGTCTGTGGTAGGTTATGTTGCCTATTATAAATGTTTCACTGGTGCTGTTGCATGCAGAGATGTAGGCATTAGGGGACATACTGCTGAAACAGCTGATGCCGTGTTTGGTTCTTGCACATAAAGCCAGATCCCCTAAATGAGTCATGTGGCACTTTATATGATATGTACATGACATGATTGCACATGACATGATCGCACATGGCATGATTGCACATAAGTGAAAAAACAATAATTATGGGTAAAGAAAAATGTTTTATGTTTAGTAGGCTTATGATATTAAAAATGGTTTACATCACTCTTGAAAGCAAGGGTTTCTTGTAACTCTTATCTTTGCTGTTCCATATAGAGATTATTTTAATTTGTAGAGTTTAGTTTCATTTAGTTGTATTTGAAATAGAGAAAATGTTTCCTTCTTTTCCCCTGTCCAGTGACCTCCAGCATCTACAGGTTAAATGAGGAAAAGAAAGGACTGTATTTACAGATGCAGGTAGATAGATATATTAGAAAGATAAGGTTGAAAGACTGCAACCTTGTGGTTAAACTTTATTTCTGTATATTTAATCTTTTCCTTTCTTCTCCTTATGTGCTGAGGTATTGATATGACAGCAACCTGGGTTGTGAGCAAAGAATATGCAGACTTGAAAAATAAGCTTTTGCCTTTAGGTTATCTGGTCAGTAAATAATTTGTTCCATAAAGCAACAGGTGACAGATGTATTTAGTGCTATTAGAATAAGATAGTCAGAAAATATAGCCACTATATTGACATCTTGTTGAATGTAGGTAGGTTCTACCTTTATAATCTCAGAATTCTCAGCTTTATTCTCTAGCAAGCTTGGGGCAATGTGATCAGGTCAGATCAGTGTTTTTTCAGCTTGCGTGACCATCTGATTTACTAATGACTTTGGACAAGTCTTCTGTTTGTTGTTTAAATATAACAATTTGCCTATTGAGAAAGGGAATCTGTGCTTTTGGGAAAAACCAGTATTACCTATTTAAACATTATCCTGATATCCCAGTTAATTTAAGGGTATGTGCTTACCACTGGAAACTGATGTTTGTAGTATGTCCATAATGGGATTGGGGTTTTTAGGTGGATAGTCTGTATGTTGCTGATAAAATTTATTACATAAATTGTGTCTTTTTTTGATGGACCAGATAACAAAAGACATAGCCAATAGAGCAGAGCTTCCGCAGAATAGCAAAATGGGATTATATTATTACTGATTGTCAAACCACTTAAAACTTGATAGCTAGGAGAAGTTACGTAGCAAGGAGTTCTGTAATGTTTTGAAAGAAGGGAAGCAGAAAGGGAGAGTGAAGCATCCTTTCCTAGCACGAAAGAGGGCACATGAGAAGCAGAAGACCTGGCTGAGGTAGCAGAGAATGCTCTTTTTCTTCTATATTTGCAAAACTGAAGGGCTCTTTTGAATAGTAAGAGATGAAGCAGAGATGTGAGCAAGTATGTTTTCCGTAGGTAGTTGTATTCCTGGTGTTCAGGGCAAAATGTGCCTTTGTGTGGAAGTGTTTTAGCTTTGTATCCTATTTCTTTCCTCTTCATTGGGTGGGGAGTAAAGCGTTGTGTCTACAGTTACAAGAGGGATAAGTGCCATGAACAGCATCTGGGGGTGCTACAAAGGCCAATGATGGTTGGACAGCTTTAATAGCAGGGTTATGGCTACCTGGATTAAGAAGAGTGTTTAGGGCAGAGTTCTTCACCTCCACTGGAGTGTGAGGCTGAAAACTCTCATTTTGGTTTGGGGTTTTTTGTCTGCCTCAAGCTGGTCAGAAAGTAGAGCTTCAAGAGCTTTAAGGCACAGGCTTTTATGTTCCCCAGCACCCTGTGCAAAAAAAGGTTCCATAATTTAATATCCTTTCTTGGTCTGTTTTGAACTTGTGATCTACTCATTTCATTTGCGTAGCTGTTAATATACAGCTTCTGTGTGCTTCTGCTTAGTGCCAGCGCAGCCACAAAGTGGACTGGGAGGTTAAAGTACAGTAAACTCTGAGGCTCTGAGCCTTTCTCTTTGATATGTTTTGTTGAGTGCTAAACATATTTAGGCCCCCATTATAAATAAGAGGGCAGAAAGTAGTCTTTGAATAGTGGAAATTACTTCTGTGTTCTTCCAGGCCAGCAGCCTTTGAGTGTGCTGTTTCCTGCAGTCCTGTAACTTTGTCAGAGATGGGACAAGCAGTGTTGATACCTGTGATTTAGAACAACAACAAAAAAATCATTATTAGAGGTGATCTGTTTCAAAAAAGAAAAAACTTTGAATGGCTTCTTTTGAATACCCCCAAAAAAGCTTTTCAGTACACCCAAAAACCATAAAGTTGTGAAAAGCAGGATTTCAGCAGCAAGGCAGAAAATGCTGTACAGCCTAATTCAGTGAACTCTGCAGCAGTTTGTATCTAGTGCTCTTTGAAGATATCCATGAATAGAAGAATGTAGACAGTCATCAAGCAGTTATTCCACAGCAAAGCTTTGTGTACTGTTGTATTTTAAGTTATCTGATATTAACTCCAGAAGTAGAAATACTCCGGGTGACATGGATTGTTAAGTATTATTACTGTGCAGAAGAATTGATCTAGTAGAAAACCTTTATTCTAAAAAGCAACACAGATATATTGCCTGCTGATGTTCAGCTTCTTGACTGATCACAATTTATAGGTTATAGTGAGGGATAAAACTGTACTGTAGTCACATTATAATAGCTTTGGACCAACTCTTTTTTTCTAACAGACTCAGACAAAACTGAGACTTGGTGCTCTGCAGCTGTTCTAGTGGTGGTTCTTTCACTGTTTGCATCATTTTTAAGAATTTCTATTTTTGTGTATGTTTTATAATATCCATAATATAGTAGTACAGTGAGAACCAGAGTCCTGGATGTTTCAGCAGATATTGATTGGGTCACGATCTTGTAGGGGCTTGGTGCTTCATGACTGTGTCTGCTGCATCTGAATTTTCTTTTAAGGCTCACTGTCATTCAGATCAAGAGTTTTTCATGTGGTTGCTTTTGATACTGCTGCTGTGACTTCTTAAGGGTGTGAGGGATATGGAAAAAGGTGCAACTCAAACCAGTCAGCCTTAGTGTGATATCTGGGAGTCTTTCTGCTTATGTACTGCTTAATATTGTAACAACAAGGGCTCATTAGGCAGAACAAAATAGGGACAAGCGTCGCTGTTCAATACATTGAATGTTGGGAGAAAGCGATACTGGTTAATATTTTGATAATGCAAACAATTTCCTTTTCTGCTCCTAGTAGAAATACCCAATTTCCCCATGAAAAAAACCATGACATTCATCTGTGATTCTGTTTCCCCTCCCTAAATCTCTCTAGTTCCTCTGGATGATGAGCTTTTTGGGACCGTGGTTGTTGCAGGACCTGTGTCTGTGGGTTGTAGCCTAGAACAACAAATACCAGTCACAGCTGGAGGGTCCCAAGAGCTGTACACGTAACAATATCCTGTGGTACTCGGTGCTTCCGTTACTAATAGTGGTAGTGATATGAAATGCCAGTTCAGTAACTGGACAGAGGCAACGTGCTTGCCTCCACAGCAATGCAGAACACATGATCAGTGACTCCTTCCAGCTGTGGCTGTCCAAGGATGTATTGCAGTTTAGGAACATGCGGTGAGAGACTCCAATACACTAAGAATTCCCAGAGCATCTCCGGGTTTTCATCTTTCAGTAGCACCTGCTATTTCAGGGGGGTTGGAGACTATTTCTCTGGCACAGACTTTAGAAGCAGTTGTGCAAGGCAGGTGGTTGCAATATTGTCTCAGTGATGCTTCTCCGCTTCTCTTCTGTAAAGTCAAGTCTTCAGTCTACCCAGTACAACAAAGAGCTTTTGCTATTTTCTTTTGTCTTTGTTCGTGGCCAGAGCATAAGCTGAAGTGAGAGGGCTGTGGAGGTTACTTTTGGCAGATGCCAGAATGTGCCCATAGTGGACAGAGCCGGTTGAAAAATCTCCAAAGGAGACCCTCTGCTGGCTAGAGCTGAGCCCATCAGCAGTGTTGGCAATGCCTCCAGTGAGAACAGATCTAAGAAAAGGGAAAAAACTGCTGTGTAACAGCAGTTGAGAGAAAGCAGTGAGAATACATGAGAGAAGCAGTTCTGCAGACACCAAGGTCAGTGCAGAAGGAGGGGAGGACCTCCAGGCACAGAAGCAGAGATTCCCCCTGTGGTGCATACCATGGTGAGGCAGGCTGTGCCCCTGCAGCCCGTGGAGGTCCGTGGAGGAGCAGATACTCCCCTGCAACCATGGAGATGCATGGTGGAGCAGATATCCCCCTGCAGTCCATGGAGGACCTCACACTGGAACAGGATGGTGCCCAAAGGAGGCTGTGACCCCATGGGAAGCTTGTGCTGAAGCAGGACCCTGGCAGGACCTGTGGCCTCATGGAGAGACAAGCTCATGCTGGAGCAGGTTTGCTGCAGGACTTGTGAACCTGCAGGGAACCCATGCTGGAGCAGTCTGTTCCTGCAGGATTGCACCCATGGAAGGGACCCACACTGGAGCAGTTTATGAAGAACTGCAGCCCGTGGGAAGGATTCACATTGGAGAAGTTGGGGAAGAGCTGTCTCCCGTGGGAGAGAGATACTGGAGCAGGGGGGAGTGTAAGGAGTCCTCCCTTGAGGAGGGGGGAGTGGTAGAAACGATGTGTGATGAGCTGATCACAGACCCCATTACTCAGGTGAAGGAGGTGGAACAATATGGAATGAAGTTGAGCCTGGGAAAAAGGGAGGGGTGGAAGGAAAATTAAGATTTGTACTTAGTTCTTGTTATCCTACTCCAGTTTGATAGGTAGTGTTAAATCAGTTTCCCTGAGTTTAGTGTGTTTTGCCTGTGATGATAATTGGTCAGAGTGATAGGTCTGTCATCATGTTTACTCCCCCTGTCCAGTTGAGGAGGGGAATGATAGAGCAGCTTTGGTGGGCATCTGGTGGCCACCCAAAGTCAAACCAGCACACCAAAGCAAAAGCTGTCTCTCAGCTTCTTTGCATGATCTGTTGGTATTCATTGTGTACTACCATGGAGAGTCTGGCTTCATCTTCAGTACACCCCTTGGGTAGGCTTCTTGTCCTCAGGCTGAACACCCCCACCGCCAGGTCCCGAGGACCTCAGTGGCGCTATCAGAGTCTCCTCCTGTCACCCTGGTGCAGCAGCTCGGTGAAACCCAGGTGGTGCTCTTCTCCCCTCTCCCTTGGGGCTCAGCCTGTAATTTGGGAGTGCTGTAGTTGTCCATGTTAATATCACAGAACCCGTTTTTAAATAGTTCCTCCAGCCAGTTTAAAAATGCCTTCCTTTGCCCTAGCACTCTCTTGCTCTCTCTCTGCAGTTGTATTGTGTATGTAGTAACCCCATGCAGTTGAATCGTGCCCCATCATCCTGCTTCCTATTGAAAATACTAGCCAGTATCACCCCTGGTGTTCATTACATCTTCAGCTGTATCTGAGTAATTTATCTAAAAGCAGTTCTTCCTTGCATCTACATTTTCAAGAGGAACATAGCTTTCCAGGAGGGATCAGAGAAACTTAGATGAGTGTAATGAACAATCTCCTCATCGTTTTAAGCTGTGAACTCCTGGGAGCTTATACCATTTCTAAGTATATGCTTGTGTAGTCTCTGAGTTTCTACATGACCCCAATTCTCATTTGGTTTTCTGCTTCTATCATAATATTATTTGAAAGGTGACCTTGAGAAGAAAAGAGGAAAGGGATTTTTCTGCTTTGTAACTTTATTACAAACGTCCCAATCTGTGGTTGGTGGGTAGGGTTTTTATTGACTTTGTTTTGATGATTCCTTCCTCCCACGTGTTACATACGTTTTTATCCTCTCTTGCTTTAGAAAGCTGTGTGCCTAATGGCAGACAGCTTGGAAGGGCTCAGGTGCCTGGGAAATTAGACAGCAAGAAGACAGTTGAAGGGATAATTGACTTTCGGTTTTAAAGGTGCCAGCTTTTGTTTAGCACACCTCCTTTTCCAAACCTGAGCATTTAGCACGGTTCTCCCTCCTGTACCTCCAGGTAAGGCTTGAAAAAGCATTTAAGCGATGTTTTTCAGAAAGCAAGCGAAACTTCCAGTAAGAATGGGCATTCTCTTACCGAATGAGCATAAGGAAAACAGTTTATTCAGGACATTCTTCGTGCAGTTTAAAATAGCAAAGCAAAGCAAACCAACCAAAAAGGGTCAAACACAATTTTTTTCCTTTTCAGGTCACCTTTGAGGGCTGTATAGAACAAGACAAGGATTTTTCATTCTTTTAGGAAGCAAGTAGAGAGACGATGGAATTTGCAAAGCTCAGGTGTGTGAAGGGTTTGTGTCAACCTGTGGTACTCCCCTCTTCAGTCTTTGTTTGGCAGTCACTCTGGTCCTTACATAGATCAGAAACTACAGTTTATCTGCTGTATCTTGACACAAATACATCTTTATCTTGCTGTGTGACTATTTTGAGAAAATACTGGTTGCTGTCATTTACGAAGGGTTGAGGTACTTAGTTTTTCCCCTTCAGTTAGATAAAGTGAGTGATCAACAGGAGAGCATGCTGAGATACATACGTGCTTCCACTATTTTAAGAAATCTTTTTTTTAAATGGTGTTTCTCTCATGTGGAATTGATCGGGGTGTGTTTTCAGCACATGAATCCCAACAAGTAGCTACTGGTTTATGTCAGTTAGTACCATAGGAAACTATTGATTTGGCAAAGGAAAGAAATTACACTGGCATTAAGCAGGAATAAATGGAATTTAATCCAGCATTTGCACTTCCTGTTTGTCTGACAGAATTAAAGGAGTAACCTCATTGCTTTCTGAAGCTTCTTGAGGAGGGGAAGTGGAAAGGGAAGTGCTGAGCTCTTCTCACTGGTATCCAGTGATAGGACACATGGGACTGGTTCAGAGCTGCATCAGTGAAAGTTCAGACTGAACATTAGGAAGCATTTATTTACTAAGAAGATGGTCAAACACTGGAACAGGCTTCCTAGAGAGGTTGATGCCTCAAGCCTGTCTGTGTTTAAGAGGCATTTGGATGCTGCCCTTGATAACATAAAGTAGTCAGGCATTTGGACCAGATGATTGTGGTGGGTCCCTTCCAACTGAGCTATTTGTACTGTCCCGCTCTGTTTTGTTCAGTTCTGTTCTAAAGTAATCACAGAATCTTGATTACCTGCAGTTTGACTGGGGTTTGTTTTGGTTTGCTTTTTTTCCCCTTAGTGTGGTCCAAGTAGCTTAGATACGCTTTCTATCATAGCACAGTCCTAAAGCGATTAATCATTTTCCTCCTCCTTGGATGCTTCTGAGTCCAGACTGGATATGGAAATGTGGCACTGTATAGTTGAAATTACTGTGTCAGCCTCTGTCCTACTCTTTGAGATCCATAGTTAAGTTTCTTTTATGAGTTTGGATCTTGAAATGGTGTACGGTTGCTTCGATAGAGCTACAGAGACAAATGCTGGGAGAGAAAAAGTCCCCTCTTTTCAACTTCCTAGTGAGACTTAATTAATTGCTTTCACTTTCCTATTCTTGAGTCAGCAAGCAGTATGTAGTCAAGCCCAAACCTTTTTTTTTTTTGGCTTTTTTTTGTGTGCTGTTGCACACAATATCTGACTTTTTAAATTGGCAAATTTGCACGAAAACTGCCACGACTGGTAACTCTGGGCCAGTAATACTGCTGGTCCATGTCCTACCTCGATTTTTATTTTGTAATCTGTGTGGTGGCCATCTCACAAAGAGCCGTGATGTGCAGTGTGGGATGACGGTAAAATGGCAGCTTATTCTTGCCTCTGAAGAGGGATGAGTTTAATGCTTGCTGTGCTTTATCTCCTAGAGCAGTCTGCCTCTGGCCGCTTGGGTATGGAGAGTGAATGATGGTTCCCTGTCTTGGCTGTAGACTTGTTTAATGATCTGCACAAGTAGTTCCTAGAGTCTTGTAAGCTATTTTTAAGCCTTCTTTGAAGTATTTACACTTACAAATAACCAGTTTGACACTTGCTGTATTTGAGTTTTAGTACACCTAGAATACCACATACCAAGATTGGGACTGTCAGCTGTTATTTCGTTGGGGATTATTTCAGTTCAGGCTGTGTGGTGCTTATTTCTGAACATGGTAGTAATGAGCCACAGAGGGAAAAGTAACTGGAGGATTTTTCCCTGTAGTATAGTTGTTATTTATGTTTGATTTGATTTAGTATGAAGCCAAACTTTTAATGGAATCAGTACATTTGTCTTTGCAAGTGGTTTGTCATTAGCCAAAATAAATATTGAGGTGAAAGACATTTTTTGTAGCTACGTGTTGGAAGCACAGAAGAGTAATCTGCCCTGGAGGTATGAAAGTAACAGAAAGGATAATTTCAGGTAAAAAAAAAAAAAAAAGCCCAAACAAACAAAACTAAAACCCACCAAAAAATCCACTGAAGTTTCAATGTTACTATCAAAAATTTGAAATTGCACAAAGCTTCTGTGAACTGCTGTGTTTTCTGGTGTAATTCTTCATAATAGAGCAAAGTAGAGTCCAAATAAATGACTTGTAGCTCCAAGGAATGTATTTGTATGAGCTGCTGTAATGTTTTATTTCCATTCTGGTAGAGATTTCTCAGATTGTAAGGATGGATTCCTTGGCAGCCTCACTTAAGGGAGTCTAGCAAGTCTCATGCAAATAAGAGCACCTTCAGAATAAGTGTTGTTTCTTTTTCTCTTTCTCCTTTTGGTGAGATTTATTTACCTCAGGGGTCATAAGTTATGAGACTTTTGATCTATACCCTTCTCTATACCTGTAATAAGTACCTTTTTGCTTTGGCTTAGGACAGACTCAGTAAATAAATACCAGCATTACTATCCAACAAACACTTTTTCACATTTATTTGGCTGTGGTAGCGTGGTGTTAGTGGAATGATAAGTAGTCATTTACAGATTCACTTTTTTCTGAAAGCATGAATGCTTTAATAGGGAGGCAGGGTGTTTTTCCTTAAGTTTTTGTGCCATAGTACCTAGTTTATTATTTTAAAATTAATATAGCAAAATATTTATTTTGAGGAATTCCAAATACTGGTTTATTACCTTATAGGACTGGAGCATTTACATAGGGTTGCTTTAAATCAGATTGCAGCCTTGTGTAGGACATTGTGCAGAGACAGTCAAACGTTTACGCCAGGTTTGCACCAGAGATTGTTCATTGTTACTCTTCTGTAGATACGACTTGCAGTGACAAGAGAGTGCATAAACTTTGCTGGAAAGCATACATTTTTGTCATCATAGAGGCATCTATTAAAGATCTTTTGATTAGCTCAAAAGAGGAGGTGGGTATGCATCAGTGTTTCCCAGATGCTTTTAGTAAGGGTTAAGTATTCGTCTTATCTTGAAAAAACTTGGCCTTAGAGCAATGGAAGGCAGGACAGTGTAGGATCTGGAGGGTCTTCATCCAACAGGAGAGTTGAAAAGATAAAGAAACCCAGGGGTTTGGCCTGGTGTCCACAAGGGCACTTCCATAACAAATATTAAACCTGGTATGAAAGGGTATTTTCCATAAAGCGCCACTTTGCGGTTTTGGTTTTTGAGGTTTCCTGTCTGGAAGAGTGAAACTTCCCTGGCAATACTGATGCATTTGTAAATCAAGCTTTCCCCTGTCGAAGAAAGTAAGTTGGTAAATGTGAAAATGAACACTTCTGCAAACGTATAGAAGTTTAGTAAATAAATATAGCAGTATTTCCTCCTAAAAGATATTTTTATCTGTTAGATTTTACTGTAGTTAATCATGTCAACAAAATCTTTAAATGGAACTGCTTTTAAATGTGGATTTTCTTTTTTTTTAGCACTGGTTGGACCATTCAAAATTCATTAAGAAGCAAATAAAAAGTAAGTAGCACGTCTCTGCCTGTTTATTTTGTTACTTAATTGAGAATATGAACTTAGAGTATTTGAACATGATTGTGAATGTTTAAACATGGCCTTTAATGGAATAAATATTTCTTAGGAAATAGATTTAATGGCTAATTGGCTGACTATATCATGCTAAATGCAAGAGCACGTATAAGCGATAGACCAGCCTTCAGCAGCCCTTGTTAAAGGCATGCTGTTCGTCTGAGACAGAGTAGGTTGTCAGGTAATTTCAGCCTGATCTGTGAAATCAGGTTGCCTGGACACAGGTCGTGGTTTCTGTCACTGCTGCTGAACTGGAACAAATTTTCTGATTGTTATTTTATTACTTTTTTCAAAGACTGAGTAATGGAAAATACTTCGTTGTATAATGGTTAACCTCTTTTTTTATATCATGAATAAAAACAGCAGAAATACCTGCTGTTTCATCAAGTGGGTGGGGGGTTAGGTTTGGCCACTGAGTTCTTTGTGGAAATTGGCTAAGGTGGGCAAATTGCTTTTGGGTCTGTAATAACCTGGTTACAGGCTTGGATACAGTACAGCATCAGCACTAACATGTTTTGTTAATATGCTGCAGTTGGTGACAGGCATAGATAAGATTATGTGAGATTAAAATATCATTTCTGTGAGATTAAAATATAGTGTTTTGAAAGGAAATTGTTGACCTTCTTGCAGGATCTCACAGAACTGGGTCTTGATTGCTTCCTTGGTGCTTTGCCTTTCTTTCTGATAAGTATCCAAATATCTAGGTGATTTTTGTAAATGGTGGAGTTCTTCAAAGCCCTTTAGGACAGTTTGCTTTCAACCCACAGTGTGTGGCTATTATTCTGCTAGAATAGACAGTAAAGATAACTGCTGTAGGTAAGGTTTTGGTGGTTGGCTTTCTCTCATCTTTTCATCACATCACAGGCTGCTTTACCTGAAGTGACTAAGGGATTTGCAGGTGCACTTTCTGTTACAGCTGTGTCCTTTTCTTGATCTGCCTTAAAATGTGGAAAATCAATGATTCTGTAACACCTTCAACCAGTTTAGTTGCACTGTTTTGTCTGTTTAATCTGTGAAGGGCCTATTTTAAAAAGAAATTGGCCAAGCCATGCCCTGAGGAATGCCGAAGAGGGAAGCAATTTGATGGGTGTTGTAAAGGTCTGCCTCACAACAGGACACTTTTCTTTACCTTGCATTCAGCAGGTGCTTTGAGAAGAGTTCCTCTTTCATGATGGATGTGCTCACTGCTCTTTTTTTCCCAGCAGTGGGCAGGTAAGAGTCATTATCTCACTGATGCAGACCTTACCAGTAGTGCCTGTCAGCTGAGGGTACTATAACCTGTCTTCTGGGAGCTATCGCTGGAGAGTGTGTCAAAGCTCTAATAATTACAGGTTTAGCTGCACATGTTTTAGTAGAGTGGATCGTTGATATGCACATACATGCTGTGTTGATGTGGTGTTACAGAAGACCTTAGAAAGGTGTGAAAGAAAGTTACTTTTCTACCACTTAATGTACCAGCAGGCTGTTGGTCTGGAAGATGACATCTGGGCAGATAAGGAAATATTGGTCATAGTCTCATGGTATCCGATTTTATTATCTGCGTTACATAGAAAGTCAGACCTAGCATTCACCTTCTGGTATTAGAAAACAATTCTCCCAACACCACTTTGTGGAATCTGTTGGCTTTCTGTGTCCATGGGTGCCTTTCAGAGCCCTCTCCAGCACTTTCCACAGTATTTATCTTACCCTTTCTCATTCACTTATACCACTCGAAATCTGATCTATTGGGTCAGGTGTTTTTTGGAGTTGTGTTTGTGCCTGATAAGAATCATCACCCTCTTCCTCCCTCTCCCTTCCATCTCCCTCTGCCTCCATCAATAGGCAGCATACCTGGAACTTGCTGTGGGTACACCTCTTTGAACAAAAATGTGTTTGTCAAATGGACTGTTGCTGGATTAATCTAATTATTAGAGTATCAGAAAGTGTAGTGGTAATCTATTTTTTTTACTGCATGCATTTTACAATTTAAAACCATGAAATATTGGCTTGTTCGAAGAATGTGAAAAACACGCCTCGCTTTGGGTTTCTTGGGTTGTGGGGTGGTGGTGGTTGTCCTGTCTTAGGAGATGTGCAACTAGTGTAAACTTATTGTTTTCCCCTGTTTAAAATCTCTGCATACACAGTTGGACCTCCATACACGTTGCATTTTCGAATAAAGTACTATTCATCAGAACCAAACAACCTTCATGAGGAGTTTACAAGGTAGGAACTTTGTCCCCTTTGCTCTGAGAATTGGGGATGATTTAATAATGGTGCAAAGGCCACAGAATTATGGGAATAGGCAGCTTGAGTTCTTGGTTAACAGTTGATTGACTGGATCTCTTCCACTTCCCCACATGTTCTCTGTGGTGCAAAAGACTGCAATTGTATAAAGTTACCTTAGAATACCTGGAGGTCTTTTGCTTCAGCCTATTGGGCTATTTTCAGGGGTGTAAGAACTACACCTTGCTGGGTTCCTAGCACCCTGGTGTGATCTAGAGGATATTCTGAAAACTGAGAAAGGAGCAGCTGGAGGAAAAGGATTTACTTACCTTTTGTATCTGCCAACTTTGTGTCTTCTTTGTATAGTAATTAACTATCGTAATGTTATTCTATCTTTTTTTTTTCCTTTTTTTTCCTGACTGTTTCTCACCATAGGGCATTTTCTGTGTCTTCTAATTTGCTTGGCAATAGTCAGTGTACTCCCGATCAGCCTAAGGTGCTTAAAGACTGTTGTAGTTCATGTGCATGTGATGTTTACATTAAACTTACGCTTGCAGACATAAGTTTACTGTCTCCTATCTGCTGTGTTGACCATGGTGGGTTGTTTTTTTTCACTGCCTGAAACAAGATGAAAGAGCTAATTGTCACTACCTTAGGATACTGACATAGAGGATTTAATATCCGCTATCAATTTAGTGCAGCAGTGTTAATTCGATAAAAGGACATATTCCTATACAATGTATAATTAACCTATAGAACTCCCTGCCACTTATGTGATTGAATACAAGATCTTAAGGGAATCAAAAAACCTGGATGATTTGAGGGCATCTGTAATGAGAAAATGTGCTTAAATTAGTAGGAATAATATATATTTTCCGAAAATTGATGTAAGTCTTCATACATCAGGGTGCATGTCTGACAAGTATTACATTTCCCCTGTGGTCAAATTATTCCATTACTGTCTCCTGCAAGATTTCTTGCTTAATCCTCTGAAGCGTATGATCCTAGTCACTGCAAGATGTGGGTATCTGAGCTATGTGATCACTGCTGTGATCGAGTAAGACATTTCCTCTGAAAGTATTAACCTCTGATGCTTTGTGATCCAATTGTTGCTGAAATACTGCAGTTCAGAAGATTATTTTAATTAAAAAAACACTTTAATCAGCTAAATCTTCAGTGTTATGAACAATTTTATTTAATCATAAGCTTGACAGAAGATGTCTGTGAAACTAGGTAAGGAAAATGAAAATGAGCTAGAAATTGATTTTGTGGTGACCAAATAGTTGTATTTTTCTTTTTTGTAGGGGAGAGTAATTTTGAATGTTGCCAGGTTTTATTAAGAATCTTTATGCTGGCTGGATCATATTTTCCATGTAACATGTTGAGTAAAAAGTGAGGATTGAAACTATATACTCAGAATTCAAATGAGAGTAAGAGGAGGAGGAAAAATTACCATTAGCAGTAATCATGAACTGAGCTGGTTGGGGGTGGAAGTTCAAAATTCCGTGTGGAGACCTGTTTTCTAGTAGACTCCAGTTTGTAGTGAGGATGTAAATGTCACATTCTCGTAATAAGCACAGAGTTGAAACCCATCACTCACTCTGTCTATTAACAATTTAACAACACAGTTTAAATCCAGTGCTTTTTTGGAAGACATCTGTCACCTTTATGGGACCCATTTAGGTAGGTCAGTTAGAAAAACAACAGAGGAATGTGTGTCATGGAGAATTTGCTGATTTGGAATATCAGCAACTGAGATGCTGATGCTTGTCAGTCTGTGTGCAGAAAAGGAGCAAATCATACCAACCAGAGCGGAGACATGGTGCCTTACAGGCCAGCTGACACAGGCAGAAGAACTGCCCAGATTTTTCTTTGAAATTTAGAAGAGTTCATGAGATTGTGAATCATCAGAGGAAAACAATAGGAACAGGAAATACACTTGTCTACGTTTAATCTGTGCATGCAAATACCCAGGTTTGATTGGCATGTCAGGTATTAGCCAAGTATGTGAATCAGAGCTGTGACACAGAGCTAACGTGGATAAATCTGATTCTGCTTTACTGTGCCATGAGAAGTCTTTTTAATCTTCCTTTTCATTTTTATTTCCCTGTCGGATTCCAACTATTCATCCTTCCTCACATTCACAGCACATCCTCTGTGATGAAAAACACTTTGTCTTTCTGGCTCCTTTGTAAAGGTAGCAGAGGTTTACTTACATTCACATTTACTGGGTTGGCACTCAGTAGTGCTTTATGCTTGCTTCTCTTGCATCACGCATCATGGCAAGCCTCACCCCAGTGTCCAGAGCAGTGCAGAGCCTGCCTGTGCCACCTTGTCCTGAACAGAGCTCTTGCATGACCTGGGGTGCTTCTGCATGCCTCAAACCCTGAGTGGCTGTGAAACATGAAATGTGCCTTGAAAATTAGCAACAGCTTAAACTACTATTACAGTTTGAAGGCTATAAATTCCTACTTGGGCTCCTAAATAAATGTGTGGGCTCTGTGGAGTTCAGGTTTCTTTTATTCAGAAGTTTTCTGCTATTTTAAATTATAATTCAATCTGGGCTTGTGCCAGTGTGGACTGTGTTTGAGAAGGTAGACCTGAAGTCTTCATGCCTTTGGATCCTGTAGTTCAATTCTTCCTTGAATTGAGAAGGACTCAGATCAGGAGAACGTCAGAATGTCAGTTAGGTTTAGGTTGCTGTGGTGTATGCTCAAATAGAGCACATCTGTAAACAAGGCTTTGGACAATGTCCTGAACACAGCCAGCAAATGAAAAATGTTCTTTCTGATTTTAATGAAAGCTAGAGGAAGTTTGAAGGTTGCAGGATGTATCTGGGTGATCCCAAAGGCCCTTTTTCTTAAGAGCCATTGGGGCTAGAGAGATGACATTATATATACTTTTGACTTTCTGAATTTTTATTTGTCAGGTACCTGTTTGTATTACAGCTCCGGCAAGACATTCTTTCAGGGAAGTAAGTACCTCTTTGCTCTTGCAACTGTAATTTAACATATTTATTATAGCTAATAGCTCGGTGATTTAAAATTTAACTATGTGATTGTTTAGTTCTCTATGGTATTTGTGCACAGATTATAAGCATGGTTCACAGTTCTGCTTGCATGGGTTTTTTTGCTTTAGAATACAGAGGTAGGTGACTTTGTGTGCATCATGATTATATTATTGACAAATAGAATGGGTAAAGGCCTCTAATGGATCGACCAGGTGATGGAAACGCATAAAAAGCAAAGACTGTCCTGATTATTATTATGACTTGAAAATGTAACTTGTGCTTGCCATATTTTTCAACATGGTAGGTAAAACCTAGGAGGAAAAGATGAAGTGCAACACTTTCTCTACAGGTCAACCCTGCAAAAGTACTTTGTGTGTTTATAGTCTCACCCTGGCCAATACATTCACACCTGCTCTGTTTTCCTTTTTTTTTATATTTTATTTTATTACAGAATCAAAAAAACCTCAAAGCCATGTTCTAAACACACAGTGTGGAAGCAAAGTTGGTCCCTTAGTCAGTTTAACGTTGTCTCTATTAGTTCAAGCTTGTTTTATGGTGGAGTGTATCGTGTTCAGTGCTAATTAGAATGTACCAAATTAGGAAGTAATCATATACAAGTAAAATAATTTTAGATGTTTCATATCATTAGGAGGTCATGGAAGTTAATGTTTCCATTTCTTACATCAAGCTACTTTTTAGCTTTATTGCAAGAAGAATTCACTGAGAAAGACAACATGATTTTTATGCCTTGTTTTTTTTCTTTTCAAGACTGAAATGCCCATATGAAACTGCTGTTGAACTCGCAGCTCTGTGTCTTCAAGGTATGGTCTCTTTTCACTCTTTGTTACTAGTGCTTTCTCATTCATCATATATAAATGCCATTCCTTTAGCTGAGGAGAAGAATGTTAGATCACTTCTGTGCCTTCCCCCCATTCATAACTTCTGTACACCACTGGCCAACATTGGCACACTTGCCAAAAGGAAGAAACCTTAAAGGAGTGGATGGGCAAAATGTTTCATGGCAACCAGGGGCAGACCAGGGAAGAAAGGCCTCAGATAGTTGCCCACTGAGTGAGAAGCTGTGGTGTGTTCACAGTACTGCTGGCTCAGCCTGAAGAGCCAGATGGCCCTTCAGCCCATGCTTCATAGAATCAGCTAGGTTGGAAAAGACCTTTAAGATTATCAAGTCTAACTATTACTCCAGGACTGCCTTGTCTGCCAGTAAACCATGTCACTGAGAGCCTCATCTGCATGGGTTTTGAACAGTGATTCCACCGCTTCCTTGGGCAGCCAGTTCCAATACCTGACCACCCTCTCTGTGAAGAAGTTTTTGTTAATATCCAAACATTCCCTCGTGCAGCTTGAGGCCGTTACTGCTTGTCCTGTTACTTATTTGAGGAAAGATCAGCGACATCCTCTCTCCAGTTGTAGAGCTTTGCACAAGACGGGTCCCTGTGGGTGTAGTTTTGAACATGGGCTTCCTGCTCCTAAAAGAAAGTACAATGAAGTGGATCACTGCAGGCACAGCAGCAGCAAAATTAAGTGCAGTGAAAAATGTTCTTTCTCCTTCATCTGGTGGTTAGCAATGGTGCAGGGAGTGCTTAGGTAGAGCCTTTTAATTTAATATGGCAATGGAGATAACTCAGTGATGCTAGGTGGACTTGACAATCAAAACTGGGAATTCAGTTCCAAACAGCAACAGGTATAAATCTTGAGGCAGTGGGTTTTCTGCTCCAGTCTGACACAGCTCTGATGGTTAGGTGTACAAAGAACTACTGCAGGCAAGCTCTGTGTCTTTTAAGATGGGAAAAGTCTGGAGCTCATGTTTAATTTGTTACTTCTGTTTTCCATTTTCATAGATAAAAGCAGCAGTAACCTTACCCCTGGTCTAAGCAAGTAGAACCAAGCAAAAGGCAATAGGTTGATGCCTCTACATTTTAGATAGTAACTGACACCTGTGATTACTGTGTAAATGTAATACCACAGCTACCCATCACATTTATAATGTCCCCAGCTAGGTACCAAAGCTAACTCTTCTTTACGCTGTCTGTGGAAACATACTTTTTACATGTTTCTGCCTTTATTTTCTTTCTTCCATTTCCTGCAATTTTGACATCATCACAGTTTCACCAAAATTCTTTCATTATTGTAACTAATTTAATATTTCTGCTGACATACACTATAAGTAGCATTTGATATTCTATGATTCTATGATAAAACATTTAGTATATTTTACTGACATTGGGAATTTAATTAAGCAGAAGAGTTTTAAGAAATGTCAAATGATTACTCCCTCCTCAGACGGTTACATTTACCCTGTAAAAGCTAATCTTGTTCCTTAGTGAGCCTTTCCTAAGAGTGAAGAAAAAGTTACAAATGGCTATTTAGAAACCGCTATGCTAAGGCCTCTGAAAGAAAAGCCTGTTCTCTTCACAGGACAGCTTTAAACTTCATACATTTTCTTTATCAACAAAGTTGTTCCATTGCAGTAATTCTTTCTTTGTTTCAGACAAGTTTCCAAGGCTGGTGTTTGGTGTGAATCATCTTTCAAATATAGTTAGTTTGTTGCCAGGCCCATGAGGAAATTCTGTAGCAAGTAACATTGCTTTGCAGTAGGGGTAATTTGTGAAGCAGATACATAATCCTGTACTTCACCGAGGGATTATCTGCAGGAAGCTTGTAATCAAACTTGAATGGTCACTCTTAGAATAACTCTTTAACTACCTCATTAGTCTTGCTTGGCTTTCCTATTCAACCAGGTATACTTACGAAACTTCATTAAACTGAAAAGGAAAACATTCTCTCAGATCTCCAGTATTCAGTTCTAATTGTAAGCCATCTTCCTGGGATAATGAAAACTTTTTCTTCCTTCTGTGTAAAAGAATGAGCAATATAAACATGTTGATGAATGAACAAAATAAACAGATAAGCGTGTTTTTGGGGTTTTCAAAACCTTTCTCAGAAACTTCCTTTAAAATATTTCCCCAATTTATGCAGTTATTTGTTAAAGAACATGGATAATGTATATAAATGCATTATATAACAACCCCCCCCACCACCACCTCAAAAAAAAAACCAAACAAAAGCATCAGAGGGCATGCCATCGTGTAATACTTTGTCATAAAACCTAAAATGAAGAGATGGGTCCTCTGCTGTGCCCTGTGTTGAAAAATGTTAGTGCTGCTGAGCCATTCAGGGGACGTAATTCCACAAGCAGAATCACTAGTGAAAGCATCCTTGTACTGAGCCTGTGCTTTTTTCCCCTTCTTGCGCTCTACAGGGAGCTGGTGAGACTCTTGCTGGCTCTTACTCCTAAGACCTATTTCTTAGAGATGAAAATGATGGCATACTTTGTTTGCCTGAAAGTGAATAAACAGTGACTGCAGCCTTTGGGAAACAAGGGTGATATTTTTCTTGTACCTAGTTCTTCTGCCCTAGCTTCTCTGTGTATCTTTTGTCCTACACACTCATGATTCTTCTCATCCTTACACATCCTCTTTATGACACAGTCAGCTTTCATTCCCCGCCTTCTCTCTCAATTAACTAGTAGAGAAATCTCCCATGTTTTTCCTAGATGGTTGTCAACACTTCCAACTTCAAATTCTTACTTTTTTTTCCCTCTGAAGTCCTCCTTGCTACTGTGTGTTTTGTGGCTCCCTCTTACTGGAGACTGGACTGCCAGTAATTCTTTGCAACATGTGTTAAATAGGCTTCCCACTTAGATGAAACAGCAGCAGAGCTGAGATGATTCTGTTAAAGAAGGCATATAGATAAGAATAATGTAACTCACCATGTAACTTCCTGCATTCTAATATATCCTGCTAGGTATTTTTGAAGACTGACCGTGAATTAGTTTTTTACTGTTATGTCTAATACTGCCCTGAAGCAATAAAACTGTTTTCTTCAAGGGAGTTTATTTCCCTCTATTGTGCTTGCCCCCCTCCCTTTTTTTTCTTTCCTTCCTCTTTTTTTCTTTTCCCTTTTTTTTAACTTTTTATTTTTCCTTTTTTTTTTTTTTTTCTTTCTTTTGGTGGTAGTAGTCATAGTAGTTAGTCAAGAAACACTGACTGAGAAAGCCCTGGTTTGGAATCACATCATATGTCAGGGGGTGACAGATTGTACTGCTGAATCATGTACTGCTGCTGATGTTTGTGTCTCCATGCTGAGGCGATGACACTGTATCCTCTTTCTATGGCTAAAAGGTGCCAGGAGCAAAGCAGGTTGCAGACATAAGACACTCAAGGGTTTCAGTCACTGAAATGCCCAGCACATGCATCTTCTGCTGATCTCGGTAGAGTTTGCAAGTGTTCTGCTCCTGGAAAAGAAGATACCAGGCCTTGAGTGGCTAAGGAGAAAGTGACACCTCAATTATGCTAGTGGTTTTCCTTAAAAACTACTTAATCCGACTGTTATAGCACCTCTGTGGTTTTAAAAAGAACCCCAGAACTTTAGCACTGGTTTTTAAGACTAAGTATTATCTTTGTGTTCTGACGCGAGCAGTAACATAACTAAGCATGCAATGGAATGGGAAGTGTTTTGGAATGAAAAATACACAGTGAGAGGAAATTTCAAAGTAACCTCTTTTGAAACAGTAGTACATTGATTTTTGCTTTTGGTGGAAACTTCATTTCCTTTAAATGCTTCAAAACCCAAAGAAGCAGCTTTAGTGAAGATGGTTTAGTTCTAGATTCTTGAGTGTCAGAATTCTTTCTTCTGTGTGGAAGTTATGGACTTAAATGTTTCTGGTCATCTCATGATCTTTATGTTTTTAACTTTTCAACTGATGAATTGCAGCTGAGCTGGGAGAGTGTGAGCACCCAGAGCACACACCAGAACTTGTGTCTGAATTCAGGTTTGCACCAAACCAGACCGAAGCGATGGAATTTGACATTTTTCAGAAGTGGAAAGAGTGCAGGTAAGGTACCTGTGTGGGGGTGGAGTCTCTAGCAACAGGAGGTTTTCTTCTGAAGTCAGATATGTCCGCAAGAACGCCTTCAATAGATGTGAAACGGTGATAATGTTTGTCAGTTGAAAAGTATTGTAAATAGACTTTGAGCCCTCCCCTCCCCTAGAAATGGCAAGTGGTAATTTAGGGAAAGTTGGTGGGTGAGCTTTAATTCTTTTCATTTTTCTTTAGATAATTTCATAACAGGTTAAGCAGTCAGGTCTTTTTGCTGTTTATGTTGGAAATTGTTCTCTTTCTCTCTCCTTCTCTCACACATACGCACTTAAGGTTTTGTATATGTGCATGTATGTACACATAAAGTATTTGTATTGTATTTGTAAAAGGGTAATAGTAAATTCTTTTTTGTGTCTTTTGTTAGTAAATATAATAGATTTTGGTGATTCTGTCTTACCTGAGCTTTTATCTGTATTGTCAATTTTATACCTTTTCCAATTTTCATCCCTCTGATTTGCTTTTCATTTGGAGGGAAAAGGGTAAAAACATAAGCTAAGCTTGAAATATCATTCAGTGTCATTAAGGTTGGGGTCCCAAAGAAGAAGATTAGGGGAAAAAATGTTAAAGATTTTAAATTGACAAAAATTTCATACCATAAAGTATAAATAAATCTTGTGTTCTTAGGGGAAAGAGTCCAGCACAGGCTGAATTGTGCTACTTGAACAAAGCTAAATGGCTAGAAATGTATGGTGTAGATATGCATGTGGTTAAGGTAAGATCCATGTGATTCTTTATTGGTGTGGGGTCCCTCAGGTGTAGGTCAGCCCCTCAGGGATATCCTTGTGGTGGTGTGGGTTGCCCCATGGCCCATGGTCCCCCATAAGCACCTCCATCCTCCAGGGTTTCTCCCAAGAGTGTATCTGTAGCACACATGTCCCCCAGAGTGTCCCTTTCCACATGTGTCCCTTGATTTTTAACTTTTGTGTCTCCTTCACCTGGCAGCTACTGCTTGCTCTTAAACTTAGGTGAGCTGACGTGTGGGCTCCCTTGGGTGCAGTATCAATGTGGGGCTGTTTCCATGGGCATTAGAGCCATCTGGGGCAGCACATAGCCCTCTCCCATGCAGGGCACCCTGCAGCCTTTTATTGCCAAAACCTGCTAGTTTGCACCCAATGCAAATGTATATTCTCCTGCTCTGTAATGTTAAAAAAAATATGCAAACCTTATTGTTTAGTTTAAAACCTATTGACTTTGAGATACTACTCCAGTCAGATTTACTCTGCTAATGGCATATTGATTATTGATTCTGTGCTTGCTTGCAGGGAAGAGATGGTTGTGAATATGCTCTTGGACTGACACCAACAGGCATATTGATCTTTGAAGGAGCCAACAAAATAGGCTTATTCTTTTGGTAATCTGTTTTTGTGTTACATTCCTTTCTGCTAAAATGCTGCAGTATCTCTCCTTTGCATAGTGGCATCTTGACTATATACTTTGTAATGTAGATTGAGTCTGCAAGATTGAAACATCAAGGTTAAATCTGAAGGTAGATTGGCTTGGTTAGAAATACCTTTCAAGTCACAGAGTCAGCTAGGTTGGAAAAGACCTTTAAGATCAAGTCCAGCCATTACCCCAGCACCGCCAAGTCCATCAGTAAACAACGTCACTGAGCACCTCATCTACACAGTTTCTGAACTGTCCCAGGAACGGTGATTCCTCTACTTCCCTGGGCAACCTGTTCCAATGCCTGGCCACCCTGTCTGTGAAGAAGTTGTTCCTAATATCCAATCTAAACCTACCTTGGCACAGCTGGAAGCTGTTACCTTTTGTCCTATCACATATTACTTGGGAGAAGAGACCTCTCTCTTCATCCTCCTTTTAGGTAGTTGTAGAGAGCAATAAGGTCCCCCCTGAGCCTTCTCTTCTCCTGACTAAATGTGAAACATCTGTTGTAAAGTAGTCACATTTCCAGGAAATCAAACTTTCATTGCAGTTCCTGAAGTGTTCCAGAATTTCATATCCCTCATACATTTCAGGGAATGGTCCTAGATTATAGAATGACATTTTCCTGTTAATTTTCTTTTTGCTTTTTTTGTGTTTAGGCCTAAAATCACAAAAATGGACTTTAAAAAGAGCAAGCTAACGCTTGTGGTTGTAGAAGATGATGAACAGGTAACTTTCTTCCCTTAATTAGGCCTGATCCAACAGAGTGTGGTGTGTGCTCAGGCTGGTAAGGATAAAAGAGAGGTTCAGCACACTGTTGGCCCAGGCTGTATTTCTCCTGCCAAGGATAATAACTAATACCATGCATGCCAACTTCCGAAGCTTTTGTTTCTGCATTTAGGGCAGAGAGCAAGAGCACACATTTGTTTTCCGGTTAGACAGTGCCAAAACGTGCAAACATTTGTGGAAGTGTGCAGTGGAACACCATGCTTTCTTCAGATTGCGAGCCCCAGCAAATAGCAAATCTAATAGATCTGACTTCATAAGGCTGGGATCACGCTTCAGATTCAGGTATTTAGCAAAGTAACAGCAATACATTTGGGTTTATACAAAAGAGCAAAAGGCAGTGGTAAACTTTGTTTTTTTCTGTATTTGAAGTGGGAGGACAGAGTATCAAGCAACACATGGGACAAGGTTACGCAGAACTAGTACATTTGAAAGGAGGCCCAGCAAGCGATACCCTTCTCGAAGGCATTCAACTTTTAAGGGTAAGTGTTTGTACATGTGCTCACTGAACTGGTCATGCACGTGTCCTGTTAACTTGTATAAATGTCATATTAAAACAGTAAAATCTGTACCACCGTATAAAAAGAAAAAATGTGTCAGATCACCTAAGGAATCAGGATGTACATGTGTGGTTTTTGTCTCTCAAGTAGAGTCCATGGTTCGTATCTGCCAGTTTTAATCTCTGTCTACACTCAATTCTTCCACCTCAAATCTATGGACAGAGGTACCTATGGTTTCTTTTGTTGCTCCAGTGAGCAGGAAAGAAAAGTTGCATCACACTCAATGATGGAAAGCATGTAACATTTTCTTTGAAGAAGCGCATTTGTTCTGTAGAGCAGAGCAGCATCCAAAAGCCTTGCTGACTTGCTTACCTAGCCAGACAGCAGCCTCATGCAGTTTTTGCTGCTTTCCTGGCTGTGATGGCTTGTTATTCACCTATCCAGACTCTGACCTTAAATAGCTTTCTCTGTGAGTTGAAATGTGCTGAATTTTAATGGAATGACAAGGAGTTGATTTCCCTTGTGGTTTCTGTTATTTTTCCTTCAAAAGTGAAGCTGAGATTTTCATTCCTTGTAAAAAAAAAAAAACTGAGGAAGGAGCAGTGCAAGACAACTGCCTCTAAATTCTGTATTACTTGAGGTTGAAGCTGTAGTTGCTGTAGGATGCAGTGTGACCTACATTCTCTTAGGATGTCTTTGCATTCTTTTGCACTCCTAGAATATGAACCTCATTGCCATGAGAAGTCCTTGTGGTATTATGGGGACGCACTTTTATTTCTCATGTACAGAGGGGAAAGGGTAGCAAGCAGGCATGCTTCCTAGGGGATGTAACCTCCTCTTCCCACCTTTAGTACCCTCAGTTTTTTATGGCAATGCAAATTCATTAAATTTGTGAGATACTGTTGTGATACATAATGGTCAGTTATATGGTAAGTGGGGTGATTTCATAAGTGGAAGTATGGATTATTATAATTTTATTTTCACAATAACAGCGTCTGTCAGACCTACAGGTCTCACCTTGTGTCTAGGTGCTTCTGCACTTATGTCCAGGAGGTGGGGGGAGAAGAGTGAAAGTATGGCATATGCTTGGTTTAGTTCTCTGTGCACAGCAGCCAGGCAGAACTGTCTTTTCAGAAGGCAAACCCAGATGATCTCCCTCCAGAGTACTCAGCGATATGTTTTAAGTTAATGCAAAAACTGCCTTTAGATGACTGAGTCCTTACCTAGTAGCAACCCACAAGCGCTGGATTCTGTCCTAGCTCAGTCTCTTTGAGACTTCTGCAGTGTCTCATGAAGCTTGTCATCCCCTTTCTGTATTCAGCATGGGCTTGGATTTTCAGCTGTATCACTCAGCAGTTTTTCAGTGCTCTTGCAATATATGCTGTTTATCAGGAAAAAAAATTATATATCCCAGTTACTCAGCTGCCTTCTTCACTGTTCTTTCCATCATGTCCAAAGCACAAGCCAAGACCTTGCTGCTCAAGGTTGCTCGATGCCTTCCCATATTCCCAACTGATGGGCTTTTTTGGCTTCTGTCATTCACTGTAATAAGACACAGGCTATTATCAGCTTCAGGAATACTCTGGCTTCAGTAAGATGCAAAATTCCTGTGAGGAGTAGCTTCAGATTTTCAAGGAACTCAGTGTTACTGACATGGTAGCTACAGCAAAGTGGAGAAGTAGTGTCCTGGTTGTGCAGAACTTGATCTGCACATTTTTTTATGGGCTTTGCCTCTTGCAGAAACAGAGGCTTGTGCCTGCCTCATACTCTGTGTACTCACACAGGAATGGTACAAAGCACAGGGCGGTACTTGTGATTGATGCATTTGTGAAAATATGTCTGTATGAGGATTGGCTTAAACTGTAGTATAACATCCCAATCACAATAGCTGCAGAATGACTGATACTTCACATGACTTAAGATTTTTTGTTTTATTTCTTTTTAAGCAAACAATCCTGTGAAAGCAGCACAACTGTGGTGAGTGCTCAAGTTCTCTCTATTGCTGTTGTCAGGCAAAAAGGATTCTGAAGACCATGTCTGCGTTAGGATTTGTCAAAACAAATTCCCTGGTGTGGGATGAATGAATTGCTTTGGGATCTCTCATTATGCAGCACCAGATTCTTCTTGGGGACTGCCTGTGAGACTTCAAGTGCTTTCATTTTTTTAGTTTTCTTTTGGTGCTTGAGCTCAGACTAAAGTAAAACATACTTCCTTTCTGCTCGTTGCTATTGAGCTAACTTATCTAGCATTGTTTGTTCCTGCTTCACAAACATAAAATGAAGAAAAAAATATGCACCGCTTTTTCTTGCACTCTAATTCCTGTAGTGTATGTTAGAATAAAATATTGGTATTCTTAAGAATACAAATTTTACTTCACTGTAATACCACCCTGAAGAATAGAACCCTGAACTATAGGAAATGTTGGCATAGATGTATTGATTATATAAAAGCTAATTTTCTTTCTCCCTTAGTGCTAAAAATACTCCTGAAGTCCATAACTACCAGGTAAGAGCATAACATTTGTTGAGAATATTGTCATTTTGTTATTTAGAAGTAAATTGTTTTGCTCTCTGTAATCACCACAGCTCTTTAGCTTCTGTTTCCTTACTCTGGGGTGGGATTCTCTGAAGAGGTTCAGAAATTAACAGCATCACATTGGGAGTTACAGGGAAAGTGGAGGGACTCTTCTCTATTCCCCTGTGTTCTTGGATGCTCTGCAAGCTGAATACACTTCATTTGCCACACTCTTTTCCCTTCCCTTTCTGTGAAATCACAGGTTAAAGCCCTTGAGACAGTGAATACGATAGACCCCAGGAGACTGCTCTGTGAGAAAGCTTTTGTCTAGGGCAGCCTCTCACACTGGATGATCCCTGCCAACAAACTCAGTTTCAATTATCTGCCCCATCACAACACTTAAGGAGTTCATTGCTGATCAGATGCTTGTTTGTTGGTTTGTTGTTTGTTTTTTAACAAGCTCCTTTATACACTTCGGGGAAAAACCTCACCCAGTTTTCATTTATGATACTAGCAGTCATTGCTACCAAGAAAGCAAGCTGTGCTTTCATTCAAACTGAGTGTGCATCAGAACCTAGTCTTTATACTTGTTTTTATTAAAAGCCTCACTAGTGATTTTGTTTCACTGTTTCTCCTCAAGATCCCATGGATATGAGAGAGTAACACTGTCACCAAAGATAACTGACCTTCTGAAGACTGCTATTATTCTTGTAACCTTTCTCACTCTCCACCTTTTATTAAAGCTGACATTCTTTTGATGTGCTTTCTATGAGAAGCACTAGATGTGCCAGGCTGTCTCTCAAATAGAAAGGCAATTTTCTTTGCATTTTCCCATGAGTGTGGCCTAACAGGAAAGCTCATCAGCAAGAAGTCTCATATGTTTAATGGCATGGGAGAAAGTCTGAAACAGGGGGTTTCTTGGGCCGCCAGGGAGCATGTTCCTCATGCCCCCAGGAAAATAAAAAGTAAATGTTAATAGGTAGTTTTTATATGATTTCATTAACCGGGTTCAATGTTTTCACTTGCAGCCCCCGTATCATCCTAATATACTTCCTGCTCAGCCACACTGGCATCCACATACACCTGTGAATGTAAGGTAAGAAATCTTCACTTTGTGAATGAGATGACTATTTATTTTATTATCTTAATCTGTTGGCATGAAGCTTTGGTGGATGTACTGGGCAGTTTTCTGCACATGAAAAGCAAAGAAGTTAGGCTTATGTGACAAAGAGGCAATATTAAATAACTTCTATTTAGGTTTTGCTTTGGAGTGGCCTAAGCTCCTTGATGGATTAATTTTTCCTTGATTTTTAATCCAGAATTTGAAATACGACTTCAGTGTATTTCTGTAGACAGTATATATGTTGAATGGGAAGGTGCTCAGTAGCATCAATAAAACTATTTGTGATTTGATCAGTATTTAACCTTCTAAGACAAAGAAGAAACTAATTTTAGGGTAAGATGAAGTTATGAGTGGACAGATTCTCGTATTGCAGCACTTTTTCTCATCTTTTGCAGAAATGTGTGTGGAAAAATAGCATGTATGTGGAACAATATATCAAGCACTTTGCAGATAATTAGTATTAGTGAAATTCCATTATGGAGTTTGGAGAACTGTTTCACAAAAATACTCCTATATGTGGTTTGTGCTATCTTCTTGCATACTTTTTATTTTGTAACTAGTAAGGAGAAAAATTGTGTGAAAATAAATTTTGGAAGAAATTCAGTCTGAGTTAGAAGCAGCTTGGTGGAATGCACAGTGGAGGCATGCACCTGCTGGTAGACATGTGTCTGTGCATGTACATGTGATAAAAGTCAGCTGCTATTTCATTCTAATACAAATCAACCTTTTTAGGCTACTCAGTGGTTTAGACAAATAATGAGTGTCTTGACTGAAAAATACCAATACCCTAATCTTCAGTCCTATTCATCTTACATTTTTATCTCTATATTGTTTAACCTCAGGACAGGTAGACTTCATTCTTAGTGTAGGCAAGCTCTGGAGACGAGGCTGAGCTTAAAATGGTTGAAAAGACAATTTGGTCCAAGTTTGAGTCTGAGAATGCAGGAAAAGGCAAATATGTTATTAGAAATACTTACTAGGCAGAGAAGCAGACATACTCGTTTTCATCTAAAAATTCCTAGCATAGAGCAGTAAAGCAGCTATGAAATTTTGGTGCAAACAGAAGACTTTAAATTGGGTAATTAACTTTACCTGTGCTTCATGTTCAGGATTCTTCCTGTTTAGGGTTTATTTGTCCTTCTGATTGTGCATGGTTTTAAATGTACAGTTTCACATTACAGAAGAGTGATTGCAGAGCGGTTAATGGTTTTATAAATCATTTGAGGTTTTGCTGAAATTGTTCTAAAGATTTCTTCACTTATGATACAAGTCAGTAACATTTTATAGCCAGATAGTTCACCCTGGAGCTGAGTGATATTGAAACAAGCACAGTAATGTATTGTAATATGTGTAGACATTCTCCCCTTCAGCCCTTCCACTGCCTGAGCAAAAATAAAGGTCAGTGAAATATGAACAATGGCTTTTTTATAGCTAGGCTTGTAAGATTAAAAAACATACTTAAGAGCTCAGTCATGCAAGCTTGGTGGAAAAGGTGCTCAGTTTTTTTTGTCCCAGTCAAGTAGAAGCGTTTAAATATGTGGTTAAAGCGGAAGCTTTAAGTTATTCTAACTTGGGGTCAAAGTGGAGGGGTTGAATGTTTAACATTCTGGATAGCTTGATTTGAGAAAGCTTAATCTATTCAACTATGAACTTGAGATCAAATCACAGATTAATGAAATTCTTTCTTTCTGCTGGGCATGCAAATAGAATGGGCCAACGGCTGAAATGGAAATACATGTGCAATACATGTTGTTATATATGGGTCTTTTTGTTGATTGATTTGTGAAATAATATGTGGAATTGTGTCTGTCATCTTAGTAAGATCCTTTCAGTGAAATTATTTTTTGCAGTTAACTTACTGTTCAGTCTTCTGAGAAAATTCATTCCAGTTAACATTTGTCATTATATAATGTTAGGATATCTGTAAAAGGTAAACTCTACACCTGCGTGTGTACCTGTTATCATAACAAACAAAAAACATTACCAGAATAAGAAGTGCAACAGCAGTTTGTTAATAAGGGAATCCCAAGTACTGTGGCTTCCTACATACTTTTCAGATTTTGTTTTAGTTAGCTATTTATCCCAACACACACACACGCACACAAATGATTAGGAGACACTGTAGGAGTGGTTGAGGTTGATATCTCCAAGCAGCAATAAATAATGAACAAATAAGGAAGAAATATTTTTCCTCTTAGTACTTTGTGCTAGTTTCACTACAGTCACAGACAAATACTGGTACTAACTATGGACTCTTAACAAAATGTGACTGTGTAGCTCACAGGCTGCTTCAGTGTGATTAACTGCATCAGTGCTGAGTTAGGGGCAATATTTACAGAAGAGCAATTTTGATTCTTAGTAGGATGTTTTTTTTTTTTTAATTTTTAGACCTTAAGGATATATTTTCATGAGCTCAACTTTTTGCATGATAAGGTTTATTTTACTAGATTGTTGTTAGCTTTTAGTTTTCCTATAGCCTCCTCCTCCCTCCCCACCATCCGTCTGAGATTCAGCAGTGATGCCCGACACTTGTCTGTAAGACTTGAAAACAGAAGGTTTTTAAGGACTGAGCTCTGATTCAAAGCCTTTTGAAATCAGCTAAAAGATTCCCATTGCTTCAGCGGCTTTTGCACCAGGCCTGTAGGTCTGTCAGCAATTCCTGCCCTTGCTGCTAGCTGCCCATCCCACCATATGCATGCTTAGCACTTGCTGGATGAACTCATGTTGCTGTATAGCGCTCATAAGTTTACTTCCATCTCTCACTAACCAATAACTGTGCAAATGGTACAGGCCACCCTATCATGATGACAGGCCATATTGGAAACCCCCCACAAGTGGAGAGGACAGCAATTTACGATATATCCAGGAACAGAACCAGAAGAATTTAGGAGGCGTCCAAAGCATGGTGTACCAAGATAAACTCATGACGACACTCTGAAACAGCCATCTTCATTTCACCTGCCATCTCAGACGATCATTGCATTCCATGGTCCTTGTCTGTCTGCAGTACGTTCAAAGTGTATTGTGCATAATGTGTGTGTCTCTGTATGTACATCCATCCTTGTTTAGTGTTCATGGACATTCTTGGGAAAAGTATTTTCCATATCTTTGTAAAAAAAATCTTGAAAAAAACCTTTTGTGAAAGCTGGTGAGAATTTCAGTGCCCCGAGACCAGAAGTATTTCTGGGGATTTACATGCCACCATACTGTGGAATCTGTGACCCTCTGCCTCCTGGTGAAGATCAGCCATTTGTGCCTTAGTTATTTTTTATCATCTTGGGGGTTTTTGAGTCAAATTAATAGGTGAAGTTTGAGAAACTTTGTAGTTGACATGCAAATAGGAGTTTGGAGGGAGGGAAAAACAGAATTCGCACTGGCAATCAAACTGGCTTGTGGACCGCCAACAAAGGGAGCCTACTGAGGTAGTCATAGGTTTGGGCGTCTTTTGCTTTTAATCTTCTGTGTTCTGCGGCAAAAATAGAGGTGCTTGCCTAACTTAAAAACAAGTATGGAGAAAGAGCACTATCACAAACTTCATGGAGTATGTGTATTCCTTTTTTGACTTACTGATTATATTGATAGCATTCCCCAAAACCATACCTGCTGCTATAAAGGCAAGAATGTTAAAAATGGATCCTTGCTGAAAGGGTGCTGCTGTCTTCTTATTTGTAATGTGATTATGGAAATGAACTACACAATCGCATAAAACTACCTACTGATAACTTCTCTGAGTGGATTCAGAAACACAGCTCATAATGGGTACACTTCAAGATGAGGACAATCTGGTGAAATATCTCTGTTTTTATAAAGTTAGATGTTTGCAAAGTTGAATGTACATTTTACAAACCTAGGTCTTTAAGTAGGCTTGGCTGGTATTTTGATCACTTGCCGATTGCTTTTTATCGTATTTTTCAACTGGAAATCATAGTGCCATGTTCACTCATGCATCTGTTTTAATTAGGCCTTGCCTCTGTGGTCTGTCTGAAGTTGTTGGAATAAATCTTCATTTGAAATATTTTAAAAATGAAGTAGTTTTTTACTTGATTTTGATACATACATGTTTATAAATGGCTATAACTGAGTTTTTTTCACAGCAAATTTGATAGTGTTTAACTTTTTGTGAAATATATTTGTTTACAAATGCTGTCAATTTTAATATTTGGTTTGATCTTTCCTGTTTGTGCTAAGTACAAATAAAAATTTTCAATCTTGTTCTGATTATGATGCATTATTTAATTTTGAAGGATATGGGGGGAAGGTGGGTAGATATGATAGAGCTTATGCTTGTAACTGTTTTGCCCTGGAGTCAGTAATGTTGTGCTGGATCAGCATTTTCAGTGCAGTGTGTAGAGGGGAAATCAATGAAGCAATTGTGCCAGTAAGATGTGTTGATGCCAGGGTTAAGGCCTGAGGTGGGTAATCACAGAGGCTGAATTCAGTTTCTCTAGTCTGCTTTTCCTGTGTTTCAGAAGTGGTTTATGTGGGGAAGGAAGGGAGGAAGGAAGAGAAACTTTGCTGGAGCTGTAGGAGCCTAGCTTAGCTGCCACTCTGAATGCCCTCTGGAGGAGGCTTTTTTTTTTCCTTGAATACTCACATTAAAGTGGAGCATTGTTGCTTCGTGATTCACACTCCTACGTTCATAATACAGTATTGTTCTTGTCATATAACTGCATTGGCTTCTCTGTGGTTTGTTGTCAGTGTTTCTCCTTATCATGTGCTGTTATCTGTGGTTTGGTTTATTGCTAAAGGTGCACTGAATGAGAGAGAGATCTCCCTGACAGATGTCAAGAAAAGACAGCACAAGGCCTAACTGATACTTAAGTATTAAAATGCCACATGCAGGAGGTCTGCCCACTGGTGAAGAACAACCTGCAGGACTCGTATGTTCTGCGGTTTGTGTGTGTCACCTCAAGGGAAGCACTTGTCACTCTGCTTCTCTGGAAGAGGAGCTCATATACTCTGCACTGTCATTTTTTCATCCCACATCCTGCTTGCTGTGTGCAGAAGTCTCTGTACCAGCAAGATCACTGAGCAGTCAGATAGGTAAGAAGAAATCAATTTCTCTGTTCTTCCTCGCTCTAGTCTTAGTTGGCTTCTTGCAGCAAATGGGCTGGGATACAGCTGGGAAGAGGAGGAGCAGATCTACCTGCTTCCTCTCTAACCCCAGCAGTGCTGACCAGCCTGTGCAGCTTACCTTACCTGAGCAAAGGTGGATATGGATAGTATCCATCTGAACAGGGTAATACAAATAAATTGTTTAAACTTGAAAGCACACTGGGTTTTCTAAAATTAGCACACTCATTACTGACAAAGTATTGTTTCTAACAGGTGACTAATACAGGCTTTGTGGTGTTAGGAATTCAGTTTTGTCTTTGAAGCAACGCAGAGCACTGCAGGTGAAAACCAAATTACATGATGAGAGAGGAGAAAGGTGGAAAATGTTTGGTTAACTCCCCTGTTAAATGTAGTAGCACCTTTTGTTTAAAAGTCAAAACACTGGGAAAGCTCTGGCAATATAAATTGATACTGCATCCTAAATTCATGCTTCTACAGGGAGGCATTGGTGTTTATAGATGCACAAACTCAATACAGGGACTTGAGAGCCCCGGTATGTGAGTGTTTATATGTTATGTTGAGTGATTTTTAACTGGGAGTTACTCATGAGGAAATGCCACACAGTTTACCAAAGAGCATGTTATGCAGTCATGCTGGATACAGGAAACAACATACGTCTTCTAAATACACAGGGAAGTTGGTTTTGTTTAAAAAAAGCCCTTCATGACTGCTTGAAGGAGGTACCTACCACCTTCTGAAACCAAAGGAAGCACATTCTCAGCGTACCTGTTGAACCCTGTGTGCAAACTTTCTCCATCCCATTCTGAAGTGTGTTCATTGTGCATGGTTGATACTGTCTTTTTACAAGTCCAGCACACACTTGGAAACTCTTCTGTAATCTGATTACAGGTGATAAACTCTATCCTCACGTTGGGATGGAAGGTGTTATTAGTCATCTGGGTAATTACACTGATCTGAAGGCCAGCGTGTAATCAGCTTCATTCTTCCACTTGCTGGAGAATTGCTCCATACTTCTTGGTTGAGGGTATCTTATGATGATCTCTCTGCATACCTTCCTTCTTCATTTAGTGAAGCTGGAAACCAGTTCTTCCCCACAGAGCTCAGGCCTACCTCTCCACTCTGTAGATTCAGATTTGCTGGGGAGTTACTTTTGCCCTGTAATAACTCTGTAATCCTGTGACTTGTCCCCCACGATCTGTTAGGGGAATCAAAAAGCTGGCAATACCACTTCTGTAACTTGGGCTGAAATATGCTGCTCCTCAGTCCCAACCAGACCCTGGCTTTCAGACTGATGACTAGTATTGAGTACTGAAATACAACGCTGAAAGTGATGGCACTTTTGGTTAATTGTTTTAGTGTGGGCTTTTTCTTTAAACTTTAATTTTCAGCTATTTTTCTCTCGCTGATGTGAGTCACAAGCAAAGTGAACAAAGGGATCAGGTTTTGTAATGCATTTCCAAAGCTGGCAGCAGGGGGGTTGCACACTTCAGGAGAATTGACAAGTCCTTCCAGACCCTTTAATCAGTGAACCCACATGCAGATTTGACCAAAAGGAGGATTGCTTTCTCACATTGTGGATGGGAACAAAGCATATATTACAGCCTTTTGGTGTAAAATGCCTTCCTTCTGGATGAGTGTTGCAGAAGATGCCTTCAGCCTACAAGAGAAAGAGTGTTAGAGCTTGCAAGGAATTTTGAGAATGGAACTTGAGCTGCTGGCAAAGAATGAGCTGGGAAATGTCGAAGACGGCAAAGAGAGAAACTGAGTGTATCACTTGCTCCTCAGGCATTGAAGTTGGCTGGATGGAGCCCTCTGAGGGGGAAGAGGAAGACAATTCCACACTGCAATCATCTGTTTTCAGTGGAGGTTTTCCACAAGTCATTCCGGTTTGGGTATCGAGCAGGCTGGCTAGCTCAAAGAAGAGAAGTTTTGACACGCATCCATCCAACCTGACATACCAGATCTCTGGAAAGACTGTTGGTAATGAGTGGTTTTCCTCGTGCTATGTGAAGGAGAACCAAGGACAGCAGACTTGAGGGGTGCTGTCATGTAGCATTGCTAATGGTAGCCAAAGAGACTGTTGGAGCCAGAGTTGCTGTAGATCAGGTAGCATTAATGGACATAAAGTAGGAACTGTATATTTTCTAAGTTGATCTCAGAATGTGTGCTGAGGGCTGATCCACCCCGACCCTGCCTTTTTTTGTCAAGACTGTGCTAGTCCTGACAAAATCTGCTTTGAGAGCCAGCTTGAGCTAGCATTTTGCTGGTCAAGCCTCTGCACCCTAGCCAGACTTGTGCTACGGTGTGAGGATCAAGGGTTTGAGCTGCTTCAGAATAAATATTTTTCTCTATGGTCATACTGCAATGCTTAGAAAAATATCATGTGTTTGTGCATGCTCCCTAGTTTTAGTGTCAAGGGGCCTGCAGGAAAACCAATTGTCCTTGCTTAGCTGGCACCAGACATGTAGAAAGATGAAGCTTTTGGACAAAACCGATGCTAGGCAAAGTAGATAAGAAGTAACATGTAAAGGGACGGACCACACTTTTCTACCTGCCTCTTGCAGTACATTGCAAAGCAGCCTGTAGAAATGATGAAGACCTTGTTTGGCTTCACTTGTTTTCCATGTACTGTTTGTTGTTCCTTGAAGTGCCTGGCCAAATCGGCTTCCTTTCTGATTATATGTGCTGTCGCTTTTGTTGCTGCTGCGTCGCACGGAACAAGTGGAAACTTGGTTCAGCTGGAGACCTCCCTTGATATGAGTCACTTTCAGTAATAAAGCTTCTGCAGACTAAATGCTGCTCTCAACTGCTAATAACTGTTTCATGACTCCTTTAAAGCAAAACAACTTACTTTCAAACAGTCGGTTTCACAAGCGTTAATCTAGATTTAGTTCATGAAGTTCACAAGCCGAGCCTCTCTGTGCACTGCCCACTGCGTGTATTGGTAGGTGCATGCTACAGAAAATGCAAGCATGTCTGTAATAACTTGCATATTGCTTTTAATTTCTGAATGCATTATACCTCCAATTTTGAACAGGAGGAAAAAGTACTGGATTTTTATTTATTTTTTCTTTTTTAATACTGTATTTCCCATCCACATTTCCTAAAGATGGTGGTGGTGTTTTAATTGTTTTTTTCAGATACAATCTTGGCAGTCTTGGCACACAGATTGATGAAGATGAGAAGTTCCACCAGCCTGATATCTTAGATCCAGTGTTACTTCTTTGGTTTGTGTTTCTGGAATACTGGCTTTCTCTTAACTCTGTGGGGCTACTTTTGGTTTGGTGGCATCTTCTCTTCCATGATCTGTTGCATGTGTCTTTCAGAAGAAATCTAGTTCGTTTTCTCTCTAGCAGAAGCAGCATTCATGATTGTCTTAGTCATCACACCTTCTGAGAACTGAGAAATATGCCAATTTAAAACTAACATAGATGTTGAGCTAAGGCTATTGGGGAACCAGTGGAAAGGCCCTTCGGGTTCCGTTTTTAAGTTGCCACCACAATTACATTTCCATTTTGGATATTTATAGTTTTTTGTACTTTCTGTCTTTTTAGTTTGTAATAGGCTTGGTTTTTCCTTTCCCCTTTTCTTTTTCTTCTTCCTACTTTCTAGCACTAGTGATACGACCTTCAACTTTCAACTATCAAACAGCAAAACCTGCAGCTCATCATATCAAAGGTGAAGATGTATTGGATTATGCAAGAAAAGCTGTTTCATTACAGGAATGGTTTGGAAAAACATGGAGTTCCTGCCTTAATGATGTCATATGTTGGTGGATTATAAAAAAAAAAAAAAAGCTTTTTTTTAATGAGCCAGTGAAAAATATCTTTTACTTTCTGTGCCCTGAAGAAAATGAAAGAAGCATCCATTAATTAATAGTAGGAAGCACTGATCTAATAGAATTAAACTCCATATAAGTGGCTAATTATTTATAAATTATTTTTTTTCCTCACTAAACCTCTAACAGGAATTATAACCACAGTGGTTTCCTTGCCATTATTGATCTCTGCAGTTTTGAGACCCTTAGAGAAGTAGAAATACAAAGCACTAATAAGTCTCCAGTGCTCTCTAAATTGTATATTGAGGTAGCAATGAGCTGAGTAGCTAAACTGATGACACAGTGGCTGTGTTTCATTTCATCTCCAGGGGCCAAGCCCCTGAGTTTTGAGGCGTCACTGGCAGACAGCAGGGCCAGCATGGTTGTGTCCATGAGCCAAGTCTTTCTCATCAGTAGGCGTGCAGGAATCAAACAGGAATAAAATGCTCAGGATAGAAATGGACCAGGGAAACAAACGGGTTTATGAGAAGCAGAGTTTTACAGTGGAATGTGCAATGGGAGGAACTGGAAAAGAAAAAGCAATGAAGTCTGCTAGAGACCATGGGAATGGAGAAGAAGAATGAAGGAGGCAAGGGAGCTTTGAGAGTTCAGCGTCTGTGTCTTCAGCACCTGAAACTCACTGAATCAATAAGCAAGGCTGATCTGAAGCAAGGCTTCAAGGAACTTGAATGCAAAACTGGATGCTGCTTCTCTGTCAAAAGTCTGAGCCCAGGAGGGAGCCATTTCTTATCACTCATTTTCAGATTCTACTGTTGTATTTAATGTGTCTCTCTCATTCTCCATTTCTGACTTTAACAAATGTCTGAAAATCACTTCTAAGATGTGAACGGTTTCTTGCTGTAACTCAGGTGAGTTGCCCAAGTGTTGCAGTGAGAGCAGAGATGGAACAAGTTGCAGATTTGTAAATAAGAAACACTTTGCTGTGCTGAATGATTGATTTTTGCCTTTTACCTGTTAATGCTGCCTGCTGAGCAGCTAACTGGCTTCACTGGTAGCATATTAAAAGGGCAAAAACCTACAACCTAAGCTGAAGTCACTGGTGTGGCACTAGTGTCAGGTGTGTTCAGGTATGCATGCTGGGCTTTAAAGTTACAGCCAATTACTGAAATTCAGACGACCATGTATTTCTTTGTAGGGCATTAGCAATATTCAGAATCTAGATAATTTAGAAGTATGAAACTAATACAGTTTGATTAGTTTCTTTAAAAATATGGGGGTTTTTTCCAGGTATTTTAGCTTTGCAGGGACAAAGAAAGGATGTTTTGTAAGGTGGGAGCTTACTGTTAAGGGAAGCCAAATCCAGTGAACTGGCTTTAAAGCTAACCTTCCTGATCTGCAAGATGTGAGCCTGCTGTAGTTCCTGGTTTCTAAGTTCAGCCTGTAGAGATGGTTAGTGTGTATTCCAGAGGTGTAAATGCACATAGAGCACACATTCATCCAGCCACACGGACAAAAGGGATGGAGAATAGTTCCTTTACCAGCAGCCACTGACACATATGGCAACACTGAGAGCTCAGTCCTGTCTGCATACACCCACAGAGAAAATTGGAATACAGTTAAGAAGATGGCTTAGACTACAGTTGAACCCAGCTTGACCAGCCAAGCATGCTGACCAGCAGCTTGCTTATGGGTGGCCTGTTCTTCCCTGATGCATACAGGGAAGAACATTCCCTTCCTTTATCTCCTCGGAGTTATCCCTGCTTTTCCCCTGCATTGCTCCGCATTCTGTAAGTGCAAGCGCAAATTTCCTAAGGCTACCTAGGTGGTTTGGCCCTCGTGGGGTGTTACTGTTATGGGTTCCTAGGCAGTGCTGGCCTTGGATGGTTGTTCTCACCAAAAATGTCCTTGATACTCCCCTTTAGTGTGCTGTGTCCATTTCATATGTAGCTCTCCTGTGAAATCGGGCAGTCCTTCAGGGCATGCTGTGTAACATTTATTAGGTGCTTATGCTTTCATCTCTTATATCCAGCAGCAACTTCTATCACATCTCATGGTTTCTCATGTTCTTCTTTATTAGCTGAGCCTCAGGCTCATGCCTGCATCTCTGTCTACATGATTTGGCAGGTATGTGATACTGAGGACAGGAGAAAGATAGGGATGTGCTTAGCTCACAGGATCTGAGTTACCTGATGGGTTAAATGCCATGAAAGACTGTAGCATGGTTAACAACCTAAGATAGCCACAGGCTGTCTCAGTGGCCTCACTTGGTTTGCTCCTATTTTAACCTGAGTTATCTTTCTTGGATTAGCCTCTCCAAGCTGTTTTGTTTCCCAGTGACAGGCACACGTTGTCTGCCTGTGACTGAAAGGGGAAGGCAGCACTGACTTGGGGGAGGATTTAATCTGCTTTTAGGAATTTTTCTATTTGCTCGTCAGAGTTTTTCTCATCTGCAAGGACATAGGGGACAATAAATTTTTTTGACAGGTGATTAAATATAATTAGCTAGCGTTATGATTAATTAAAGCCATTTGTAAACAAAGAAAAGCAAGTTTAGTTCCTCCTGGGCATATCTGGTGTGACCGTTTTGCAAGGCAGCATGTTTTTAGCAATCTTTATGTAGAGAAGGTGAAATCTGTGAGGACAATGGCTTTGTTGAGCCAGGATTTGTTTCTCGGTATTTTATTAGAGCATGCTTTGCCACAGGCTCTGTTCTTCTTGTGGAGAATTCCAGATTCCTCCTGCTTCGAAACTCAGTTCAGCACCCTGTACTGCAGGAAGCTGCTGCTTTTGTTTCTTACATGAGAAATTCTCCCTGTCTCTGTCACCATTTCTGAACACTTATTTCCACATGGCCATCTTCTCTTTCTTTCCAACGTTAGGTTGTCTGTCTGGGAGAAGACTGCTGGCTGCCCACTCCGCTTTCTTGAGGTATCCCTAGGAATGGATGGGAACTGCTGATTACCCCCGGCAGCAGGGAAAGGCAGCTGAAACACATATTCCCAGGCCTTCCCTAAAGGAATCAAATGGGCCAGCTCTCTGGTCATCTGGTGGTGTCAGAGCATGGCAACGTAACAGCTCAGCTTCAGTTACACTTCTCACAGTTTAGGAAGCCAGTTCTGGCTGGAAGAGAGGTGTCGGCTACATCGTGTGGGGAGAAAAAATGGCATAGGTTTGCTTTTAGTGATCCCAGTCCTCCTTAGGAACTCATTGCTTTTATGTGTCCCAGTCCTTGGCTGCAAAAATGAAACTTCATCCTCTCTTTTATAAGCAGTCTTCCTGCCATGGTCTGCATTCCCTTACATAAGTGAACTGGCTGCTGGCTCTTCTCAGAGTCTTTTGCCTCAATCCAATGATTCTGGCAATTAATACTCACACAGAATACCACCCTCCTATCCCCCTGTTTCCTCTTCATTCCTCTCCACGTGGAAATTTCCCAAGTATGTGAATTCCTAGGCTCTCTGTGCTACCTTATGGGCTTTAGCAACACAAAGGTGTGCGAGAGATTCTAAACGCCTGTAAAGCAAGTTTGGCTAAAAATTTGGTTGGGGTTGTTTGGGTGGTTTAAGTTTCTTTTGAAGTATGGGAATAAACCCAGAGTCTTCCCTCCCTCAAAGGGTGAGACTAAGCACAAAAATGAATGTTTGGCTTAACACAACTGTCAAATCTCATCCCTGAACTGCCACATTGAAGCGTCACGTGCAGTGGTTGCTTTCTTTAGGCTTCTGAAGAGTCTCTCCATGCACACCCATTGATGCATACACATAGATGTTAACATATACTTTAGCCATTTCACTGATGGCCATTTGGGAGCACACCTAACGCCCATTTTGATGTTGGAGAAGGTATGGTTAGGATATGGTGGTGGGTAAGATACCTCCTATTAGAGAATGATATGGTTGGAAGGAGTCTCCTAGTGCATTCAGCAGGAAGCCTGTTGTGTGGATTTGAGCTGCCAAAAGCAGCACAAATCACCATGAGGCTTGCTCTGAGCTGCAGATGAAGGAGGATTGAGAGGGGTTGTGAAGATGTTTGTGTAAAGCTTGAGGGTTTCTAAATATCAGAAAATGGCAGTGGTTCGGTGCAGAAGCAGTGTTCAAAGCAAAGAATAGAGGTGGGTATGGCGATTGGGGAAGGTTATTTATCACAACCAGACCTAGAAGCATGGGATGTTTTTAAACCACTGTTCAGCTACAGCAGGGAGGCTCTAAACTCAATGCAGAGTCATCCAAGAGGTGCAGTAGTTTCAGCCTGCTTTCTGCTGTTGCCCCACCAGAAGGGGAGAGAAGAGAGCCCCACCATTTGCTCTCCAAGTGTAACTTCAGGCAGGTGGGACAAAGCTGTCCAGGGACAAAGCAGGAAGAGTGTTCAAGAAGGGGACATGGACAGGGTGCAGGAGCAAGCCATCTCTGGGATGCAGGTGGAAGATGTTTATGCATGGCCACACAGTTATGTTCTACAGGACAGGAGAATGAGGATGGCAGTTGGGAGGATGGCATGGAAAGGCAATTACTTTGTCTAAAAAATCTCTTGTCACTCACAGGTTACACCAGAATGGAAAGTCTTCTCACCCCAGGCCTGTTGTGGGTGAGAGAAAAGTCCTGAATGGGTTATGATCTTAGCAGATGAGAAAGTTTAGGACAGAGCTCAGGAGGGATTATATGTTTGTGCTGGTAGGGGTAATCTGCTTCATAGCTGAGGTTGTGGGGAGTGAAAACCTGGCCAGTTTAGAAAGGGATCCGATGTTCTTCAGGATCAGAAGAGGAACATGAATCCATGACCCCAGGCCATTTAGGAAACAGTAAATGTCAAAGTTCCAGTGCGTACACAGGATCAGGTCCTGTAGAACATGGGAAGCAGCCCTTCCTCTTCACAATGTACTTACAAAGCCCTAGCTGAAATGGGGTACCCACCTCTGAGCACCACATACTGGAGCAGGAGCCAGTCGGGCAGATGGGGATGACAAGATGTATCAGAGCTGTAGGAAATGTGTGACCTGTGAGGGATGGTTGAAGAAATCAGAGATCTTCAGACTCCGAAGCGAGATGTGAAGAGACTTTTACAAAAACACAGGTCTGTAGCAAGAAATAACCTGTTCGCTGTGTCTGTGATGGATGAGAGAGGAAATAGCAGGCTTAAATTGCAGTAAAGGAGACAGGATAAACAAAGGAAGGAAGTGCAGGCATGGCGAGACACTGAAATTGACTGCACAGGGAGGTCATGGAGTCTCTGCTAGTGAAGGTGTTGAAGGTTCAGTTCAGCCAATCAGTTAGGGTAACATTGGCCTGCTTAGTTTGGTTTTCAGGTGAAAGGTGGATAATGCAGACCTTCAAACACCTTTCTGTTCTCCATTTTTCTATGATCTCTTAACACTTGTACACTAGACATGCTTTGGGGAGGCAGTAGATGGCTGGAGGACAGGAAATACAAGAATGTCAATTGAAAATAGCTATTAAAGCAAAGGGCAGGGAGTATAAAATTAGGGTAAAAGACTAGTAATGTAAGATGAATGTAATGAAATGTAAAAGAACATGGAAAAAGTAGTAAAAAAATGCATATTATTTGCCCTGTTCCTCAATAATATGCTGCACTTTTGGTCAGAAAAAAAGTAATTATGAGAGGCTGAGGGTAAAGGCAATACAAAGTGTCTTGTGAACTTTCAGTGGCTTTTTGAAGGCTCAGCCTCTTGTAACAGAATCCAAAGGAGTGCTTTGCCAGAGGGAGGAACACAAAAGAAGAAATGTTTTCTTCCTTTACGTAATAGCCTGTGGGGCTGTGCCTCATATTCCTTGAAGGACAGGGGTTGGTTGTACAGGGAGCAGCTGGAGCTTGTTGGGAAAACTACACAGGTTAAGGACGGAGGAAAAAGAAAACCCGCAGGACAGCCAATTGGTATTAAAAGGTAGAACAAAGGTGTAGCACTGACATACTAGGAGGGCCAAAAGACAAATACAAGAGGTAGGATGAAAAGTGATACCTGTCTATGTCTGCGTATAGTCTGACAGCATTACTTAATGTCTAGGGAGCAAGTATGAAAACCTAGAGGATTTAGGATGCAGTCAGAAAGTTGGTTCATTGAAAGTTGTGATTTATTTGCATCAATGGCTTGGGGAGAGTGCATCAGCATGTTACCTTTTCAGTAAGTCAGACAGAAGCAAGTAACAGAAAGAAAAGTTAATGGCAAAAAGATGCTTTGAGGAAAATCTCAAGTCTCTAGATTCAAGACAGTGGAAGCACAGAAAAAATAAGTGAAAACCAGATATGATGTATGGTAATAATGATGTAGCAAGAAATAACCCTTGTAGAAACTGCACTAAGATGTCCAATGTGCCCCTGAATTATCCATCTGAAGTGCAAGAGTTGATTGACTGCTGAGGTGAGTTTGCCTCAATATCTGTTAGCTGCTCTCATCCATGGAAGAGTACAGATGACTGCATCCTTTTAAATGGGCCAGAAGTTTCCATATGGGATTTCACATCAGAGTGCACTGCCTGGGTATTGACAGCCTGACTGGAGCTTTGCAACTTACTGCCCTCAAGGATTTCAGTGTATAGTGGAATATCCGCTTTGCTGGGCTAGCTCTTTACTTCATTGAAGTAATGATCTCCCTGGGTTTTATGGTGTGAGTGCTCCTCTGAACGGTCAAGAAATACATCTAGAGAATTTGGTGCATGTTTGACCTCATGCCAAAGGGGTCTTGTCTCATTCCATTGCTCAGCTTATTTCCATTTTAGCATGGAAGCTACTGAATGCCCATAGCAATATGAGGAGTCAGTGTAAGGATTTGATGTGATTTCCTTCATTTTGAACAGACCAGTTGAAAATCTGCTAAACCAGCCTGCCAGTGGGTAAAAGGAAAGCAACCCCCAGGCCCATAGGGGTCTAGGTCTTGAGAAATATTTAATCATAGGCTGAAAAAAGGATGTGCTGAGGCTCTGACTCAAACCTGATCCTATTTCCAGTAAGGGTTTTTAACTGTGTGAACAAAACCAGCTATCCTCTCAGTCAAAAAATATCACTTCAATCCAAGGTGCTCAGAGGGAGAGCGCAGGAGAGCTGCTACAATTAGTGCACGATCTCATTAGCCTGTACCATTTTCCTCCAGTAGGCACTTGCTTGTTTTGATTACAACAGTGAAGATCTAGTGCAGTTTCAAAGACAGACCAGTCCTGGATTATCTGAGCTCACCAAAGCTGTCCCCTGTGGATCAGACACCTATTTGTATTGTTTCCTTAAGGCAAATAAGGCATCAGAATTGCCTTTATTGGCAGTTGTTGCTACGTGCAGGGAACCTGCCAAGATTAATATACACAACGTTCCCTTCCCCACCTCCTGCTTTCAGAAAGTAGCCAGCATAAAAGTGTTATTCAATTACTACCCAGTCAGAAGCCTCATGTTGTCAGAAGCTGTTACTAAGAAGGCAGCCGTTATTAATGATGTACCAAGTGGCATGCTTCAGCATATCTTTGGAAAATATACAGATGTGTTTGTTTGCAGATGACTGGTTAATTTTGCTCTGAATCAGTAAGTAATCTGCAGAGAGCATACGTAACAAGTAGCTAGGTATAATTTATTCGTTGTTTCCTTAATTATTCTGTTTGGGTTTATTCCCTACTGTGAGGTTTTCAGGTGCTGTTAGTAATAAAAGCTGAAGATATAATTTCTTTAGAAGTTTTTGAATAGGCAGGAGGTCCATCTTTTCTTGGAATGAATTGATTTCCTGCAGCTACTGTCTAATGTAATACTGTAGGATAAGTTAAAACCTTATAAAAATGTAAGCATTCCTCTGAGGAAAAGGCAATCAAGTCATTTGCAGTGTCTGTATAGAGTTATCTCAGCCTTTTTTGTTTGCTGGTATGGAGACAAAATGTCATTTCTGGAAATTCATCATCATTTTAAACAATAAGTTGAAACAGCAGGAGTTACAACCATAGAGGAAAATTAACAGTGTTGTTTGATGCTTCTGAGTTAGATATGATGAATTAAGACTTCAGCATGTCTCCATTTCTCTGTATGTTGTAAACTGACAACAGTTTGTCTGACTAAACACATGCAAGAAAACCCTCTCTTAGTTTGCCAGAACATGTATAATTCCTTTTTCACCACGCGCTACTTTGCATGTAGTTACCTCTAAAACCTGTTATTTCCAATGGGAACTTTCTACATTTTTCCCAAGTCACAGACTTTTCATACAGCTATTTTGCACCATGAATTTGGAGGCCCGAACTTTCTCAGTCACTTACTGTTATTCTGGGACTGTTCCTTGATCTGCTCTTCTGTCACTTTCACTTTAAACAAACTATTGTTTGCTGCCTGCCCACTTTCCTATCCCACTTTCCTAAAGTTGCAAATTCCGGCAGGACAAATTTGGATGGTTCTGAGGATCATATTCCATCAGCCATATGGCTCGGCATAGGTGTCTAGCACAGGTTGTATAGTGTGTAAAATCAAAACTACTTCTTATATTAATAAAATTGTACCAAACAAGAAGAGGCATCCTTTTTCCTCACCGATTGAGTCCCCTGTTAACAGAAAGATAAGAATTTGGGATGTAAGTCATTAAAAATTTTATTTACAAAAAATCTAAGTAATTTTTACCCAAGAATGTTTGCACGCTGTCCAAGAGTACTGTTTGTCCTACTGCTTACCGCTCTAATCTGAACTGAATTTACTTTGTAGCTATCCCTTGAACAACAGTGATCTGCATCAGTTCAACATTGAGGAGAACGGAGGAACACCGTATACTGCAAAAATGCCTGCAAGGCACCACCACCACCACCGCCATCACCACCACCTCGCGAACTACGGCGCCCTTGCTCCAGAGAGCAAAGACATTGTTTCTGCAGTTCCAAACCCAAACAGTAAGTCCACTGCAGTAAATGCCCTTTCAGTAACTGTGCTGCTGTGATTTGTCTCTGGTGAGGAGGCGAAGGAAATGGAAGGAAAACGACACGGTGTTCCAGTTTTCCCTCTTGAAGAATATGCTTCTTGTTATTATTTGCTAGCTTTGTAAGTGAGTGCAAACGAGACAGGGTTTTTGCAGTTTCCTGGCTTTGCTACAGGGCTGTGGGATTGGTGTTGGTTTAGTGTTCCATAGCTGAACAAACACCCAATTAGTCACAGATACTGAGTCTCTAGCCACTTGGCATAGGCTATCTTTCCATTGTTACTATTTATTTGTATAGTTTCTCAAACCTACCCTCATCTGCCATTGTGTTTTGCTGATCTGTCCAGCTGTCCCTCAGCCGTCATTATCTGGATCTGACTTTTGCTTTTATATCTGGGCACAAACAACAGAAACTTTGGAATGCTGGGAAATCGGCATCTTGCTCTTAGTTTATGTAATGGGAACAATTCCTGCTCAGCATCACCTATCATGATTGGAGTGTGCTTGCTTGTTTGGTGGAGAAAGTCTTGGCTTGTAGAAAGCTAAGAGGAGAAAAGCCTTTCTGTGCCTGATGTAACCTTGGAGAGTATGGTTGTAAGTCTCCATAGCTAAACACGTACAGGCTTTTTTAAGGGTGCATAGCTTGTCCAAATATTCATAGGTTTACACAGGAAGAGAAACAGCCCCGCCATTGAGCAATTCTACCTCTTGCTCTCCCAATTTATAATCTCTGCACTCTGCAGTGTGTGAGATGCTGAAGCTGTGTAGGAATTCCAGATGAGCAAAACAAGGTATGATCTATTACTTTCCTTGCTTCACAGGCATGATAAATTCTTTCTTTGCTCAATTCTTGCCTTTATAATTGCAGATCACCCTGAAACAGGCATCTATTATGGAAGCTTTCAGCCTGGGTTGTTAATCTGACAACTTCCAAATGCCTGAAACCGGGATCTTGTAATGGACAGTGCTGGCTGATGGTGACTTTAGGCTGTCTCACCTCTTTCATTGATTGAACACTCACTGCTGGCATACATTCGTGCTGAGAAGTGCTGAGGGCTGGTGTGGCAGCCCCACTTGATGCTGCCACAGAGGCCCTGGCCAGGCAACTGGGTGCTCCAGCACTGCCAATGGGTATCTTGGCCATGGTCTGCAGTGACTGGACTGCAGAGGGTGGCACAGGCCATCCTGCTGGTACCTGCTGGGCTCAGCCAGCTTCTCATGGGCTGCCCTGAGGTGTGTCTGAGTGCTGGCGATGGAGCGATGCTGGCAGGGCTGATCTGGACAGCCTCGCTGGGCTGTCAGCCCGGTGCAGCAGGAGGCGGTGACCTTTCTGCAGGGTCTGCCAACACGTGTTTTTCTTTCCCAAATTAGAGTGAAGCACACCAGGAAATTGGGTCAGAGCCAGCTCTGCCGCTGCTGAGTGTTCCAGCTCTGAGAACACTGCAGACCCCATCACCCTGTCCCCCTCCAATGGGCTCCCCCACCCTGCCTATGGCCACAGCCCCATGTCAGCCGCTGGGGACTCAGCTTCCGCCCCAGCAGTGCTGCAGCAGGGCCAGTCTCCACCGCCAAGCCTCCACTGCCCTGCCAAGCTGGGCTCATCTGTAGAGCAGAAGGTGATTTGAAGCAGCACCAAAACCACAGCACAAGGTGTTTATTCCAGCTCTGTGACTCCTTTCAGGCTGCACTGCTTTCCTGCTCCTCCTTATTGCTGAAATAACCTTAGAAACAGCTTAGAAAAGCGTAAGAGCAAAACATCAGGAGTAGGTTTGCCCCGGAACAGGTTGCCCTGAGAAGGTATGGCTGCCCATCCCTGGCAGTGCTCAAGGGCAGGCTGGATGTGGCTTTGATCAGCCTGGTCTAGTGGAAGGTGTCCCTGCCCATGGCAGGGGTTTGGAACTAAATGAGCTTTAAGGTCCCTTCCAGCCCAAACTGTTCTAGGATTCTATGCTCCTTTTTGTGCCTAGTGAGTGTTACCTTCACGATGAGATGTGGGGCTGAGAACCTGTGTCCCCCAGGCATGGGAAGGACAAGCTGTCTCCCCCAGATCTCACAGCCCTCCTGGGGCACAGCCTCTCCAGCCTGTCCAGCAGCTGCAGTGTTCTGAATGGGATTTCCACAACCAAGACAAGACTTCCATGGAACACGTATTCCTGGAGATCGATTTACCTTTCTCTTTGTTTTGTCAGCTTAAGGCTGTTTCATGCTAGCTATTTGATTAGAGAAATGGGAATCAGTGCTGGTTCCTGACATGGCCTAATGCCACTAGCACCAAATGCCAATTCCTGGTTTCTCTAAGGCAGCAGAAAGGAACGGGGCACCTCCAAGGGGAATCTGGAGCAGGCATGCTGGCTGTGTGCAGCTGAGCTCTTCAGGCAGCTGTACATACAACACACTAGCTTGTCTTAATGCAGGCATGCTGCCCCACAGCAACCCATTACTGATCCCCTGAGGAGACCCAGCCGGAGGCACAAACATGATTTTCCTTGAAAGGCCAGTCTGCAGTTAGACCTCGCATGTGTACTCTGTTAGAGTGGTGGCAGTGTGGGCAGGAACACTTCCCTTAGAACAGTCAAAGTTACTCATTTGCAGCTTGAGGTGAGAGGTCTAGGTGCCTTTTCAAGGTTGGTGCTCAGGGGGCTTGCTTTGGTTCGGTTTGTTTTTAATGGAGTCATTAAAATGCTGCTCATGCTGTTTCAAGTGAGAAAACTGTCTTGTAGAGAGCGTGTGGAAAAGGCTTGTGGTCTATGTGCTGAGACAGGAACATGCTGCCTCTCAGTCTGTTATCTAGGGCAGCACACGTGGCAGAGTGTGGGACAAGAGCTCAGGCAGAGGGGAGGCACTATCAGGGGTCTGTGTCAGGAACATGGGGACATGGGGGGCAGATGTCTGGCTCCAGGCTGTGAGGAAAGGCCACTGCTGTAAAAGCGTTTCTAGGAAGTAAATGGTCACTAACCTGGGGACAGTCTCGGGGAATAAGGTGCTTGTGACCAAAATATCTCAAGTGGAAATGCCAGGAGAGCATGGGGGAATACACTATCCTAGTGGAAACTTCCTCGTGAGGCTGACAGAGGAGAGGCCATGAACACCAGCACTTCAGTTTGCCTTTTCTTGTGGTTTTCCAAGGGATCAGAGGCAGTTTGTGACTTCTTCCAGTTCCTACAGACTGGACTCATCTCTGAGGTGGCTTTCAATTCTCAAGTGGACCACGGAGCGACCCATCAATATGTACCTGGCATTGTGTCAACAAAGGGAGAAAGCATGTGCCTTTACTCCACTTACTCTGATAAATGCCAAAATTCCAGTGCAATTCACAGAACATGGAGAGGGAGAGAGGGAAATGACAGCATGCCCAGCCAAGGTTCCCTTTAAATACTGGTGCTTGCTTCTCAGCAAACACACAGCCTGGGATTTTGTTACGAAAAACAAACCCTGGCCAGACCTGCCCGATTTTTCACATTCCAAGTAATTTGTCTGCTTCAATTACTGGAGGAAGTGAAACCCAGTGAAACAAATCTGACGTGTGTGTTTATGAAGGCAGCTCAGCAGAAGATGTTTTCCTGCATTCAGCCTGATGATTGTATTTGCGATGCTGCCCTTCACCTCAAAGCTAATATACAGAGATCATGTCTTTCATGCAGCAGGTCTTGCCATTGGTGTATTCACAGAATCCCTGTCCCAAGGACTGCTGTATTCAACAGCACTTAGACTTACAGCACCATCGCCACCGCACACAGGGGTTGAGCTGCTTGCTAAGCTTAATCGGCATGGCAACGTCGTGCATGGGTTACCAAATGCACATGAGCAGATCCACTGGCAGCAGCTGGGGCTATCACTGGAAGCAGATGCCAACAAGTATGCAGTGTAGCTTGCTGAATTTTTATGATGGAAAGTGATGAACGAGAAAAGGGAGCCCAGCTTGCCTCTGGAACTCTGGGCTGAGCTTGCAGGTTATCCCTTAAAAATAGGCATCCTTTGCTCCTGAACTGCTCACTGCAAAAGTCCTTGTGTAACCCTGAGCAGAGAATGATGTAATACAGACTGAATTTCAGGCTGAAAACAGTGATTTAAAAGACCCCGGTGCTGCCAGATCCGTTCTTGAAATGAAAGCCTGGTTTTGCCAAGACTTAATGCTGACTCAGGAAATGTGTGCCTTTTGTAATGCAGGACTTCAAATTTTTGCCTTTTTTTGCTTTTGCAGTCTGTTTTCACAAATTTTTGCCTTTTTTGCTTTTTCAGTCTGTTTTCAAGGCTGCATTAGAAGGCTGCAGTGGCTGCCTTGTTTTCCAGAGCTCTCCCTTCAAACAAAAATACAGTTTAAAAATCAGTTTTAAATCATAGCAAACTTGAATACAATAATTTAAATAAGGTGCTTTTTCCCCTCTATGTTCTTTCTTGACAGGAAAATAAAATGACTGTTTCCAGAAAAACCCCATCCAAACAAAACGAAAACCCAAACCACTCAAACACACAAAAAACCACCCAGATAACACATCTTCATGTCTTATTTTATGGTTGTGGTGATTTATTCCCAGATATCATCGGGCAGTTTCACAGTGTCATATCCGCAGAAGCAGCTGTGATGTGAGACATGCCAAATTCTTGTACCGCTAACTTGTGATGAGAGACCACCAATGGGAGGTCAATGCTGATACTGTAACCCCTTCTAGGATATTATTACCTCAGGGTCTGATAATGTTTCATAATACCAAAACCGGCATTTTTCTTATGTTCCTATAATCTGGTTTTAGCAGCTTGTCTTTAGTCAGCAAAGCTCTTAATGTGTATTTAAACAGCTGTAGAATTAGATCTTGAATGGGTAATATTTAATATTCTTAGGACAGTTTGAGAACCTGATCCAGCCTAAACTGCAGTCAGTGCGAGGCTTTTATTGATTTCAGCAGGCTTTGAATCAGACTCCAGAGATCACACTGTTCCCAGCTGTTATTACCTCAAATCCATGGTAAAAGGAAATACAGGAGGATGCAGAGATCAGTCAAATCATTGCATGCTGAAGCTCATTTTTCTCAGCGTGCTTGCTGATATACAGATATATATGCCATACCGTCCGTGAGATGTTGGCAGAGACCTTTCAGGGCTGTCTCAAGAAATATTTTTCCTTGTCTTTGTGTCGGTGGCTTGCTCAAAATCTCTGTTGACAAAGTACAGCAAATTCCTGACAACAGCCTTGAAGAGGCTGGCGTATAAATAAAGATGTCTGAGAGAAGCCAAAAGCTCTACTCTGATCTCTTTACACATCACATGTTCCGAGAGTGGCACCTTGGCTGCATAAATAATCCCTCTGGTGTCAACTGAGTTTTAGAATACAGGGGGGGTGGTGAGGGGGAGGTAAGGAGAGAAGTGTCTAGCCCAAAGCTGGCAAAAGCCCTGCTGAAATGAAGGGATGGGCGAGAAGGAGGAGGGGGAGGAATTGTTTGCTAAATAGAAAAAGGCAAAATGACCCAACAGGCATAATTCTGAGGCATTTTAGAGGGTCTTACAGAGAACGTGGTTTGCTGACTGCTGTCTCTTCAAATGCAGTTGAGTATCTTGCTCTGCAGTTCTTCTGTAGCTTCCCTTCAGACTGTTTCTTTTTCTTTCTTTCCTTTGGGCATCTTTTTAGAACTGAGCTCAGGACTTCCCCTTTTTTATGATGAAACCTCTCATCTGAAGAAAATAGAAACGGAGAGTGTGAAGGTAGTTGGACCATGGCCAGCCCTGCACGTCAGCATGAACAAGGTATAGCACATACATATATACTTTTACATATATATGCCAGAGAGCCCTGTTGTCGCTTCATACTCTAAAGCTGTTGCTTTTTCACCTTCAGCTCAAATCAACATTCATCTGCAACTGGCTTGCTTTTTAATCACCTCTCACCATCTCCTGATTGGATTGGGGTTTGGTTTTTAGACGGAGCATTTCCTTTGCCTTTGCCTTTTAAAATTTCAGAAGCTGCTGCAACAATGTTATTGGTGTAGTTTTAGTTCAGTTGTGAAGAGTTAGTCATCTAGACAGCCCAGAGGTGTAAAGAAGAAACAACACTTTAAGTGATAGAAAAAAAAAATGGAAAACCTTGTTTTTCTACATGAGGAGCCCATATTATGCTTCAAACACCCCCTGGCATCTGATGGTAGTGGGTGTTTTGTGAGTGAGTTTTTGCAGGGGTGACAAAAGAGCCATGTCCCATTGCCTCTGCCAGAGATCAGAGGCCAGCAGGTCAATGGCTCCTTCTATCCACGTGAGGCAAAATCTACTGTGCCTCTGTTGTGGGATGTGCCTTGAGCTGAATCTCAATAGAGCCACAGAAGCCTGGACCTTTGGTTTGCAACCACATCAGTCCTGAGCTGGGCCCAGTGAGGTCAATGGGAGCATTGCCTCTGGCTTTAAATGAGGTGGGTTTGGGCCCCTAGTGAGTGTACAGATGTGTTGAAAGAAATGTGTTGAGTTTTCTGTCAGTTCAAGGGAGAACTCAGGATGATCTTTTGAGGTCCCTTCCAATCTCTAACATACTGTGATACTGTGATACTTTACCTTGGTTTTACAAACAGCCATTTGTTATTGATATGATTTCAATGAGCATTAGGAAATTAAAAATCAAATAGGATGCAGAAAATTGTATCAAGAACACATACACAAAGGGACTGTATATCTATATAGCATTTTCTTTCTTTCTCCGGATGAGAGAACCCAGGAAATGGAAGTCAAGGCTGAAAATCAGTGAGTCAGGTGTTTCTAATAAAAAACCCCAAATCATGACTTCTTTCTTTTTTTCAACATTTTAGTTAATGAAAGTTAATCAGTAATGTAGATTTTATGTCATTAACATTTGCTTGAAGAACCACGTTCAGGATTGTCAGGGGGTGGTATTGTACTTCAGCTAAGGACTGCGGTCCTTATACCTTATGAATGTGGTCATGAGACAATGACCTATGTCATGACTTTTGGAGACTTCTGAATTAACAGATGAAGGTGGAAGACTTCAGACATTGTCCAAAATCTGTTTGGTTATCAGCTATGAGGAGCTGTCATTTTGTCAAACTGGTTGGTCTGAGTGGGGATAAAAATCTAAATCATAAAGTAGACAAACTGAGGTGAAATGGAAAAGAAGCCATCATTTTCCCATGGACATTTCTCAAGTTGTTCTTCTAGAAATACTCTTATCTGGTAATAGGTACAGTTTTTTATAGGCCAAGCTAATTAAGCATTGACATAGTTTGCCAAAGGAAAATTCTCCATCTCACAGACTCATCCAGTGAATATCCAGGTCTTATGAGAGGAACACTGTAGTTCAGTTGTAATTACTGATACTCCATCTGAACCCCAGCTGAGAGCATTCACTTAGGTACAGTGCCCAAAACATGCTTTAAAGGACAGTCCTACACTATTGAGCTTCTTCACAGCTCAGTTTGGTGTATCGAAAGGGCTGAAATGAAGTGAGAGGTCTCTCTCCATGTTGACCATAGTGCACGTGGTTAAACCAGTCTGACCTGTGTTGCACAAAAGGTCTGAACAGGTGATCTCAGTAGTACCCTTGTGATCTCATAATGAGTAGATTTATGCTCTCTTTTAGTCTATAAATGAAAGCTTAAAACTCTTTGGTCGTGTACTCCACACCACTGTGCAAGTAGTACCAATAGAGCCCCTGTGACCTCTGCCTGGCAAAGCCTGACCTCTGATCCTCTCACTCTCTGAAAATCTGTAGAGGGAGAGCTCAGCTCTTCTATAATTAATGGTTTTCTTTGGCTTGTCCTGACAGCTCTAGAATCTTGTCCACAATCAACTAGACTATTTATATAAGGACTAATTAGCAGAACCCAGTATCCTAGCAAGTCTGTACTTCACAATAAGCACAGCTGCACGGTAAACACAGCCTGTGTCTGCTGCAGCCATCAGTCAAAGTTTAGCTGGTGAAAAGCTCTTGCAGTGAGCACCAGGAGCTGCTAAATGCTTCTGTTTCTGGCAGAAGCTCAGCAGAAGGCAAGTGTAGAGACATGGTCTGTCTAATGAAAATATCTCTTATGGCAGTCATAGTGTGTTTGGTTTTAAATGCTGGGCAGCAATCGCATGGATAGAGGTTACCAAGTGAATGCAAAGGAGGCCAGTCTCTCAACATTTATTAAAATTGCCATTTTGAGCCATATGAAAATTGTATGTGCTCTTGAAACAGGCCCAGAATCTCCACCCAAAAGCACGTCAGCAATAAAGTGCTCACATTACAGGTTGTGGGTTGTGACCAACAAATCATTCTCAAGTCCTTTTGGCCCCTTGCTTGTGGTTTCTTCTTCAAGCACCATTCTCTAACCTAGATCCTAGTGAAATGTGGACACAGCTCATAAAGCTAAAGCAAACAAACAGCAGGGCTTTGAGCAGAGACTCCATGGAGTTGCCTCAGCAGATGGCTGCTCCAATGAAAGAGGGAGGTGCTGTAAATATGGGGCTAACCCTGAGCTGAAGTGCTGTGGAGCATCACCCAGCACGAAGGCAGTGGGGCAGGTTAAACATGATTGAACAGCCCTGATCTAGGACAAACATTTTTCACTGTCCTTTAAAGCTCCTTTAGCGAGGTGTCCCTGCCCATGGCAGGGGGGTTGGAACTTGATGATCTTAAGGTCCTTTCGAACCCTTTCTAGTCTATGATTCTATGGTAGTTAAATGGCTACTCAGTCCAGCAGCAAACAGATTTTAATGAGTGGTCTAGGTGTCTAGCTTCTGGCAAAAAAATTAAAGATTACTAGCTCTCCTGCCCCACTCCATTGATTTCTATTCTACTAAGTGCTTTTTATTCCCTAGTTTTACATCCGAAATATTATGCTTGAACGAAACCAGTGAACCAGTTCCGAAGCTGCTCCATTTGCTCTATTTCTGAAAATAAAGCAATGGTTTGCACATCTATTTTGGAGTCCCAACTTTCACTCCCTCTCTTCCTGTTGCTAATTATTATTTTTTTTCAAGCAGAGTGCTTTGGGGCTGGAATTTGTCAGGCTTAATAATCAACCCATAGGAGAATTAGCAAGAAATTGGGTAAATTAGATTCAGCAGTTAATTAATTTGATTGTCTGCTACAGCAAACTTCGTCTCATGGGAATGATGAATAGATGTGTCCAATCTCCTTTCCAGAGCTGTTTGGTACAGTGGATGTGTCTGTCCACCTACTGAATGATAAGTCAGTTTCAACATGCTTTCATATCCTTTGGTTAGCCTTCATCTCCAGGAGAGACAAACCTAAGTGTTGTTGCTGTGAATATATTTATTTTCTTTCTTGCAAGCCTTTCATTAGAAACATATGTTCACCCACCCGCTTTGCTCCATGTGTGTATGCATAGCCACAAATGTATTGTTCGCATTTCTGAAATCTGGGGAGTCTAGTAGTTAGTCCACATGTAATTATAACATAAAAAGAAAAAATGCTAATACAGTTCAGATTTTTCCTTCACCTTTTCCTGATGTTATGCTCACCCTTCTCATATACCCTTGGGTTCTAAGGTTGGTGATTTCATTCTGATGAGGTCTCAGGGGGTGTTATGTTGGTCACAGAATCATGAAATCATTTAGGTTGGAAAAGACCTTTAAGATCATAAAGTCCATCCATTAATCTAACACTGCCAAGTTCACCACTAAACCATATCCCTAAGTGCCATGTTTAAAATACCTTCAGGGAAGGTGACTCAACAACTACTTCCCTGAGCAGCTGGTTCCAATGTTCCATCAAGTCATCTTCACAGTTTCTTCTTCTTCACTCTAGGATCCACTTTGGGTCCTTTTGTATGTTTGCAAACATGCTTTTACACCTTCTTTCTTGAATGTAGACATTCAAGGCCAGGCTGGATGTGGTTCTGGGCAACCTGATCTAGCTGGAGATGTCCCTGCTCATTACAGGAGGATTGCAAGTGCATTTGAAGGTCCCTTCCAACCCAGACTATCCTATAATTCTATGATTCTTCATCAATCTGCATCTTCACATTGCACCCAAACACATTATACATTGTGGCTTTTGCATAATTATGCTAGATACTGTCTTTGCTCTCTCCATTGCCTCTAAATTGCACTCTCCATTGCCTCTAAAACCAGTTTTGTCCAGGTTCAGGTCTGCACTTCTCTAACTGGCCATTGGCAAGTTGTTTACTGCTGTGGGGTCTTCATTGCCAGCCTGAACCCTTTGTGTTGTCACCCCATGCCTGCACTCCTCTACACCACCTCCTGTGTCTCCACCTCTTAAAACCCATCTTATACTAGCTTTGTGTAGCTTTATACTACATCATGTTACAGTTATATATATTTACTCTACAAAAAAATAACTGCTTGAGTTACTGTTTTCTATATAAAATTATTGCTGTTACAGCTAACTCTAGTAAAACAAAGCTGCAGGCAGATCAAGAAAGGTTCAGAGTGAGCCTGATGAGCCTCAATGACTGCAAGCTGTTCAAAGCTTATGGCCTTTTGTTGACATGGTAGTAACATGTTACAGGGCTACCCAGTTACATTACTGACTGCTTGCAAATTAAACCACTTTCAAAAACGCTGTGGAACTACGTGCCCCATGCACACCTGCAAAGCCTAGAGCTGCTGCAGCTCCAAAAATTATTTGTGGTTTAAAATAAACCCACAAAACCAATCACTTTGTTTATATATTTGAGATTCTTTCATGTAATACGCTGATCAGAGGGTATACCCTGGGAAACGTGGCTACCATGACTGAGTAAGGCTATCATGAAGCTTGGCACTGACAGATACAGGATCTAATAATATTGAGCAATAGCATTTTATAAAATAAATGTGATACCAGGCATTAAAGAGGTTTGCTGCAAGGATAGATTTATTGGGAGTTATATCATTCATTAGACCAACTGATAGTTGACCGGAGGAAGGTCTTGTGTGTCTGACAGCTTAATGAGGGGCTCTTTTACTTGTTGGTTTATTTCCAGATGTATTTTTCTAATAAAAGATGCAGCCTCTGCTTCCACACTTTGCCTCAAATAAGAATAACAGATAATCATAGGTCCCTTTCCACTGTGATGTCTGTTCATAATTTGTGTTAGCTATTGCATGGAGAAGGAAAAAAACAATAAAGTTACTGATGGAAAGGGGGCAAAGGAGTCTGTAGATTTTCCTGCACATTTGCAGATGTAGTTGCATCCCAGGAAACCAAAGGGTTAGACCTCACAGAGCTAATGTGCATTCAGAACCTATACATCTGGGGTGTCTTCATTAAAATTTTACCTCTACTAGTAGTGATGACTAACAATAAAGAATAGACCGACATTCCTAAACAAAGTATCGATTCTATTCTTCAGGTGTCTCCAGCTAAATGTGTATTCTACACATACTGTTTGACTGAGAAGAGACTACTGATAAATTCACAGAGGCAAAAGATCATTCATCTTGCTCTTGGTGTAAAGTGTGATGTGGAACAAAGCATGAATCCTTTAAAGCAGAGAGAATTTAAATGTTAAGTACAGGAGTAGTTTTGCTGTGTTTCTTGCAACTATTTTTATATTCTGTATGTGTACTTAATATTCAGTTAGCTTGCAAACCAAAGCCAGTGTCATCATTATCTAAGACTCTACAAATCTGCCTTCTGTTCTCGTATCAGCAGATGTAATTGAATTTAAAGTAAATGTTTGAGAGGAGAAAAGCAAACCTAAGACCTCAATTATAGAAAGAAAAAGACATCTACTTTCATGCATGTATATATCTGAGCTACTTCAGACCACTTCTATCAAACCCAGTTAAGTGCAATTCTTCAGTGTTCTCCTTCTCTGGAAGAATAAAGTTCTCCATCAGTGGTGAAAGTGATGTGAATACATTGCTATTTTTTAGCACCAGCAGAAGTGTAGATGGAAAATGGAACTGTTATCAAATATCTTAATGGGGTTTTCTGCATTTTTAAACCTTTTCAGATGGGTATAGATTGCAATTTTAAGCAAGAAGATGACTTGTTTTCTTTTGACTCTCAGACATTCACTTGAAAGGAACATCTCAGATTCTTTGGAATTGCATAATAAGAAATGATATAATTGGAAGTTTCTATAATATTATGCCATGTTTAGTTTTCTAATGACTTCCACTAATGACTAAGAATGCTCTCAGTTTATAAATGAAAATGAAATTTTAATAACTACAAACCTGGTACAGCATTTGAATACCCAGCTGCTATCTTTATGCTTCACTTATCACCGCAAGCAATAAGGATTCTGGAAATATAAGATCTCTTTATTATACAACAAAATAAAGTAGATTACAGCTTTCATTCTTGCAGGATTAGTATATAGAATTTCCTAATGCAGGTAGGGTTTAGATCTTTGCTTTTCTTATAAACCAGTGAAATGAGCCATAGAAGGTGATGTATGGTTTTTCTTTTGCCTTCTTGATTGCAGTTATACTTGAGGAGTTAAACCTGGGGATGAACAGACTTCTATGCAAAGATTAGTGGCATTAAGGACAATAGGAACTGATATGGATGCTTACAAGTACTGATAGTCTGCAGTACATCGGTGCTACTTTCTTCTTTTTGTAGTCTGTGGTTTGAGTTTTCACTTTTAGTCTGGATTTTCAGTGCCACTGACTGTATTACACACTGTATGTCTAATTACACATATTACACACTGTATGTGTACTAGTTTCAGCTAATCAGCTATGTGAAAGCAGAATTCAGTAACGATTCAGGATGTGCTGCACTGTGGCAGAAAAGTGCCGGTGCCAAGGCAGGCTGGCAAAGAAGCCTTTCACAGATGTTTAGAAGCTAGAGGAGGTCTGGATCCCCCACATGGGGCTTGTGTGCAGTCAGCATTTCCACTGAGGCAAGGGAGGTGGTGGCCTTCAGCTGCCAGTTCAGCACTGGGGAACAGGACGAGGCCAAGTAGTGGTTGCAGTAATGTCTGTTCTTCATGTGCGATCAGTCACTAAAGGTGCTACTGGTCCTTGTGGGGTGCAAGCAAAGCAAATTTTGCTTGCTTTGAAGGTAAAACCTTCAAAGTGTAACCCAAACAAGAGCTAAAGCAGAACTGAATGGCCAAGAATGGCTTCTAAGAAGTCTGCAACCACTAGCAGCAGCAGCTTTCTCTTCTCAGCCAGGTCAGTGAGCATTAGTGTTTGGACATCTCAAGTTCTGAGAATCTCAGCTGGAGACTTGCACATCAGATCCCACCCTGGGGACAGTCTCCGTTACATGGACTCATCCGGTAAAGTCCTGAATACAGCAGGACATTGAGACCTTTTGAGGGTTCCCTGCTGCAGGGCACACCCAAGGGCTTTTATCTTGCTCTTGGTCAATGTGGGGAAGTTAGTTAGGGGTGGAAAAACTGAAAATATCCATATTCATCTGAATAAAAGATGTATGGGACTTTGAAACTTTGTGTTACACAACAAGCTTTTGTCCTAAACAAGCACCAGTTGTCTTGATTTAGCTGTTAAAATACAGTTTGCTTAATCTTGCTTGACTGAAATGATATTTAATTAGCATCCAGTGTAAAACAAAGGTGGGATTTTGCAATGGCCTTTTGAAATGCCACTGCTTAGTATGTTGTTCTTTGTGGTGTTAAAAATCAATGCACTTAAAAGTCAACAATAATAGCAGCCCTTTGAAAGTATGTAATAGTGCACTGTGACTACCAAGACTCCTGGTGAAGGAAAAGTTGTGCTTTCTTTACAGTTAATTTTGTCCTTCTGAGTATCTCCACTTCTCAGCTTCATGAGTAGTGCAGAAAAGACATGGAACACAAATATTTCATGTTAGGGTTTTTTTATATGCTTGCCAGAACTACAATTATATTCAAGACTGAATAGATGACTACAGTTCCATAAGTTGCTCCAGCTAGATGCTGTCACTTTTAAAGTATTTTCTTTGTCACTTAGGAGAAAGGTGGGGAGAATGAAAGGTCAAAAAATATCTCCCACTAAAACCGGTAAAAGTAGCTTGGCAAATAAATATGTAAAAATTGTTAGGCATTTGCTAGAGAAAAAGAAATCCCATGATGAGCAGGCCTTTAACAGTTGTTTGGTTGCTCAGAATCATGCCTGCCAGCTGTGGCATTTTGGATGCAGAAGTCTGCTAGGTCAACTTTGCTTATATATGAGAAATACCTTGCAGTCTCAATAGAGCTCTACAGAGGTCTGGCTCTTTCCCTCACCAGTGTTTGCAGGTTTTGAAGTTAAAGGGTCAATCCTATGGTAATTTCAGTGACTAAAAAATGACCAGCTGTGTCTTGAAATACTCTGTGAGAGGTGAACCTCAGGGATGTGCTGGAACTGGTTTACTGATGCCTTGTACCCATTTTGTACAAAATCTGAATGACAGCATTACATATCTATTCTGTCTGGGTGTATACGACCACTCAATCTTTGCAGCAATGAGAGTGGAAAATGAATGCATAATCTAGGCTGCTACTTGGTTGTAATCCACATCTCGTTTCCAGGAAGAATAGGGAAGTTTGCAATGGCTGCTATGCCATTGCCCAGTTCTTCTTTAAAAATATATGATATTACCGTTTGATTAAGAGTTCACATTTACAATCCTGATCTGATTCATGCCCGGTTTGTTTATATATTAGTCTTACATTGTCCTTTTTTTTTTTTCCCCTTTATTTTTGTGTTCCTTTTTTCTGCATGGGAAATTTATTCATGCTGACATTGCTGCTGGATGTCGTTTGTTGTAGGCACAAAACCTTTAAGTCATGTTAGAACAGGTCACTAAACCATCCATCCTGAGGGCTTAGATTTCTGATCTGGACCGCTGCATATGTAAAGGGTTGACATCAAGTGGAAACAGCAGCAACAGTGTTTAAATTCCCTGGATTTTTCTTTTCTTTCTGATGAAGGAGATTTTGCTTGGCTTGCAATTACGTGGAGATCCCTTCAGATCCCTCTGGTTAAATTTGCAAAGCCTCTTCGCATTCTTAGGTAGTATAACAAACCAGCGTTCAGTAGAGTTGGGTGTTGTGAACCTCTCCTTCTTATGCCTGCTGTGGGATATTTTGAGACAGTGTTTTGCTTCCTCAGTGTCATCATGGGTTTGGAGAACTAGTACCTGGATGGGCTTTTTCCATGTATCTGCACATCTCTTTCTTGCTTTTATTGCTCTGGCTTCCCTGAGGCTTTTCATGTCTTGAAAATAATAAAAAGTCCTTAAATATTTTCAAAACATTTCCTTCTAAGACATATCTGGGTATAAACACAGAAGTTTTAATCAGCATTGCTGAATCAAGTTGTTACAAGTAAAAAATTTGACCTTTGACCATTTTTTTATCTCTCGATTATATGTCACTGTGCTTGTCTTTTATATTAAATACAGGGCGAAGACAAGAAAGTACCTGAAAAGACTCTTCATGCCCCTGTTTCACCTTCATCTGTACCTGACCATATGAAGTGCAACATCCTTAAAGCTCAAGTGGAAGCTGCTTTTAGAGTAGGCACCCAGGTAATCTGTGTTTAATGTTTCTCCTTTCTAGTTTTGGCATAGCTTACACTAATTTTCCAAAATCACGTAATTCCTGAGGAAGCACCTTATTTTATCTCAAGTATCCACATTGGCCTAGCTCTCTCTAGCTGCTTTTCAGTTTCTTCAGGGCACTCAAAATGATTGATATGATGGAAGTAGGAAATTTGTCCTAGTTGACAAGATTAACACAGTTGAGAGAGGCTGAGAAAATAGGAGAGAAGGCCCCAGGAAATCTCCATGTTTTGATTTTGTCACTGTAGCTTTTATTTACTCTGTATCTGAGAAACAATAATCTCTGGAGTTTTCTGAGGCTACCCACCACTCACGGAAACTGTGGTTAAGGGTGTTCTAAAGATAGTATCTGTGCATCCAGATGCAACCTTTATTTTAGGGGATTAATTTTAGCTGTCTGAATGTGAAATGTTAGCTAGTCTATTGTTTTCTTACTTGGTTTTGTGTGTTTGACTAAATTTTAGGCTGCTATTTTCACTATTTGGTCAGAGGTTACATCAAATACATCCTGTTTCAAAAACACCACTAGTCTTGTAATGATGTCATGCAGCTTAAAATTGATGCTAGATGGCGTGACTGTAAAAAGTTAATTTTCAAACCAGAGGTAAATCCAAGTGAAACCTAAAATATATGATTCTTTTCAAGTGTTATTTGTGGACAAAAGAAAATGCCCTTGGTGCCAAAAATAAAGCCAAATAGAATGCTTTAGGAACAAAAGGAGAAGTAGAAAGACTGGTATGACTCCTATTCAAAGTTCCTGTTGTATCCCTGTGCATGCTATTCTCTTTGAATGCAAACTGTGTTGATATTTCCATCGCTTTTTTTCATAACAACAGAACAGGTCAACTTGCCCTGCAAAGGCTTTTGTTAACAATCATCTTTGTGTATTTGTTGTTCCCTAGCAGATCTTTCATCTGAGAGCCAGATTACATCTGGTCTAGCTAGACCTAGGGAAGTATCAAAATTTGTTATCCTGACTGCCCTAGATTTCAAGAGCAGAAACCATAAATCTGACAGCATGTGGGGGAAGGAGGCTGGGGTTTTTCTCTCCGTTTTTCCTTAAAGCAGTTCTCTCACCTCTGAATTCCTTGTTGTTTCAACTGTGGTTTATGCAAGATGTTTCTTATTTGATTGCCCTTGGGTGTGCCCTCTGTTTTTTCCTGTATGTCTTTTGTACAGGATGTCATGGTATATTTCTCACATTTGTATTTTCTACTGAATATGCTTAATGGTCATGTTTGACTGGAAAGTTAAAGACTGGAAGCAGTGTGTGCTGCTGCATTCAGAATACAGCATTACTAAGGCAAGATAGGAACTGTGCTTAACGTATGCACCTCTCAGTTCACCTGCCTGCCTCAATTTTACACTCTGAGGCTTTCCAAGGGAGAAAATCTTGGGTTGCTTTTTCATGTATGCCATGACTGTATTCTTTAGCTGCTGCTCTGTTGTAAATAAGTTTCAGAGCAAGCTGAACATACCTTTTTTTCCTTTTTATCTGTATTGTTTTGCACAAGGCTTTAGCAGTCGGATTGGATTGAGTAGGTGTCTATAGGATTGGCATCAATGAGAAAAGTCCTATGAGTTCAGGGTGAAGGAGGGGAAAAAAAAGACTGTTTCAGGGTAGTATGTATTGTGAAAAAATAATGGCATACGGTTCAGTTTGAAATCCCTGAAGCTTTCAGTGCTATAACAAAGTATGGCTTAAGACTTACAGCCAGTAAATAAGGAAGTCACCTTAATCTTGGAAATCCTCATTCAGCTCCCTGCTTAGCCACAAAATTGCCTGTGCAACTACAGATGAGTTCTTCTGCGCTTGAGCTCCCCTCCTGTCAGCTATGAGATTACCCATTGCAAAAATAAGTAGACAGAAACCAGGCAATGGTCAGCCGTTACCATAAGAAGCTGTGGCTACACAAGCACTGGTAAGGGTAGGCAAAATGTTCATGGTGAAGGAATGAGTAGAAATACCCCATCTGTCATCTAGAATATGGGAGGAGAGAAATGGGCTACAGGAGAACCTAATAAACCACTGTACCAGCATACTATAAAATCACACCCCCCAAACACCAACCCAAACTAGCTATTTCCCAGTGGAAATTCAGTCATCTTCTGGGAAGAGCAAGCTGGGATGGCATTACACTGCCCAGAGACACTTAACAGCATAGAATCATAGAATAGTTAGGGTTGGAAAGGACCTTAAGATCATCAAGTTCCAACCCCCCTGCCAGGGGCAGGGACACCTCGCTCTAAACCATATTACCCAAGGCCTCGTCCAACCTGGCCTTGAACCCTGCCAGGGATCCTTTGAGGGAGCAGATAAGAAACAGTTGCTTTGTAGAAGACAACCATTTAACTCCATGTATTCCTCCAGGGCTGTGATCCTGCCCCTCTTTGACCCTATCTGACATATCCTACTGCCCAGTATACCTGGAGGTCTAACTGTGCTCTCCTCTGCCCAATTCTGTCCTTTGATGCCAGTTCCATATTAAATTCCAGAGAAGTCCTGCCTCTGGCCTTATTCTTAAGACTCTAATTTCTCATTTCTCATTTTCTGTACTGTTATATTTCAACTTACAAGGCAGCCAGGACAAGAAGCATATCTACGTTCTGTAAGGCACAGCCTATATTCCTTGAGCTGTAAAGCAAGACAGACTGATTTTCCTCATATGCAGCATGTATCTTCCTTTATTTCAGGGTATCACAAAAAAGATGGGGATTTGCTCCTCTTTGTTTTGTAAAGGAGGAAGAAAGAACCAGATTCTGTCTTATGCACACACTATTTGAAATTAAACTTTCTTTCAAGGGCCCCCAAAATCTGTGGTCTAAGTCATCCTTTATGAAACTTCATGGAGCATCTTCCTTATACAGCTGGGTGTAGAAGCATGAGAAAAAAAAATACTGGTGCACTGTAGAATCGCATCCAAAATTAACAAACTATTGCTTGAAATGTTTGTAACAGCTCTCTATTCCTAAGCAGTAGGAATATTTTCAATACCATATGCTACTAACATCAGGACGTGACAAATTTATGAAGGCACCTCCTGCATGTAGTAGAAGAAGAAGCTGTTCTTCATTAATTCTGAGAATGGAGTGAACGTTTGCAAGTGAAAAATACAAACTGGGACAGAAATTTTCTGTAGCTTTATCTTTATGGCAGCTAGACACCAACACAAGAGAGAGCTACAGAAATGAATGATTCCAGTGCTTATGAGTTAAAAATTAAAAACAGGGGAAATTATGCAATACTGTTAAAAATATATTCTGGAAGATAGTCTCTGCACTGCTTCATTTCAGAATTAAGCTGAAGAGCTGTTTATTGCGTTCCTAGGGGGCAATACACCGTCTCCCATGGCTATAGTCCTGATTTAGAGACCGAAAACTTGTAAGTTTATGATGCTGATCACTGAGCCCTGCATGTGGTTGAGAGTTATAGAACAGCAGGAAACTAACATGAGTGAGTTTGTTTATTTGGTGAAGATGGAAATATTTATGTGCCGTTCTGCTAGATGGAGAATCAAACTCCAGTGTGCATGGGGGTGCTGGAAGCTGAATCCAGGAGCACGCTGCCACAGATACCAGAGGTGAGAAACATGAAGAACCCATACAAAACTGTGGGAACCTGTGGTTTGCACAGGGCATGCCATAAAATTCCTGTAGGCCTGGAGCAAACAAATAGTGTTTCACAACACACCTTTCAAACTGTGCCAGAGGGATCTGCCACCTTCTAGCTGACAGACTGCATATCACAGTTCCCACATAATTAAGCTCCAGGGGAGCACTAAACACTGGGAAGCAACTGACATCGTTTCTTCTTTTTTTTTTTTTTATTAATTCTTTTCTCCTTTTTTTTTTTTTTTTTTTTGCATTTATTCCAGACTCTTCATTTGAGAGGGAGTGGTATAAAGCAGCAGTGAGGAGCTGACAGAATACAAAAGACCAGCTCTGCCTGGCATTTAAAACCCCTTTGCAGCTTGCATGAGTCAGTGCTGATATGCTGTGATTGAGCAGACGACTTGTTAGTATCACAAAGAGTCCTTTTTGCCAAACAGTTCATGGTCCAACTGATGGAGAAGAGATGCTAGCAGGTTTTGGTTGCTATTTATATCCACTTTGGCTAGGGCAGATTCTAATTATCTTTAGAAATAAACACAAGCTCCTGAGCAAATGTACAGCTATCTCAGCAGGGCAGTGTGTGCTGTGTTCTGGAAGTTTGTCTTCTGTAAAGTGGTGTTTGTGTCTCCACCTGTTACCAAAAATTTCTTTGGATTAATTTAGGTTTAGCAAGTTAGCACAGACAAGAAACTAAGATCCTGTTTATCACAGATTTCTTCTGTAGCTTATTTTTGCACTATTCATATCTTTCTCTGCAGCCAAAGGAAGGCCAAGCTCATTTTAAGATACCTTTCTGCAGTGTGGTTTATGGAAGACAAATAGAAGTAACATTACCACCCGAGCTGTTCCTTGCTGAATGTTATGGGTGGTTAAAGGTAGTTTGGAGATCTGGAGTTATTTACAAAGAGCATACAACTTTATCAACCCCAAGGGAAACTCTTGGGTATCTTCTATCAGCCAGGCTTGGGTTCTTGAGCAGTCGATTCCTCTGCCTTGCTTCTGAGTAAACAAAGGGACATTTATGCTGAACAAAGGAACGTTCAGTTATCTAGCTCCTTTCACATACTAACTTTCTTCACAGGCTTATACACATGCAAATTTTTAGCCCAGGTCGATAGCCATCTCTCTTTTTTTCCTCCCTGTCCTAGAAACAAGTACAGATCATGATCATGTAATTTTGCTTCATGTATTGCAAATATGTAAGTGCAAGGTGCTTATGCTCTCAGGAGTTACCTCGAGGAAAGGACTGTACTGTGGTACAGCAAATGTCTCAGGACATGCATGGGTAGAGGTGTCATCCTGCTGCTTTTGCTCTCTACGTGGATGCAAGCCATGGCTACAAATGCAAATGAGACTGGAATCTATTCGTAATTTATGGTAGAAAGGGTGCATAAGTGAGGTGACTCACAGTGCTGGTCTGTCTTATCTACATTTTTCATGATTCTTTGCCTTTTTCATTGTGCTGTCTCCTTTAAGGAGAAATTCAAGTGTGAGGAGGTGTCAACTTCAAAGTCCAGGTGCTTTTCTCATGTATTTCTAGAAGAAAATCACCTTAGATGAGCTGGGTCTTTGGAGCTTTATTCAGTTACCAGGATCTGGATTCAAACCTCAACCAGGTCATGAATGAAAATAGAGTAGGTGAGGGAAAGCACTTGAGGATTTATAATCTCATGCTATCTTTCTTATAATAGGACTTAAACAAATCCTTCTGGATGCCCGAAGGAGTTCTTAACTTTCACTAGATGTTGGCTTAAACACTTTGACAAGATCAGTTTTTCCGACATTTGAACATCTTTCCATCATGAATTAGATGCTGTTTGCTTCCCTCTCCTTCTCCTTTCCTCCCTCCCTCTACCCATGCTTATTCACAGCACTGAGCTACTGCACAATTTGACAGTCTTTGCACAGAGATCAGAATTACGTGAGTATAACAGGTCACAGCTGAGGTGTTCAGGTTGTGGGCGAAGCTTGCACATCTCCTTATGTACATGATGCCTTCCTTGCTAAAGCTGTTGCTGTTAGTCACCCACTTGGATGAGCAATAAACTCACTGGCAAATTTCAGGCTAAGTAAAAAGAAGCAACTGCGCTGGAACTCTCAACTGGAACAGCAGCGTCAGTTATAATTGCTCATAACAATGGAATCTGAAAATGGCTCAGCTTCGAATTCTCTGTGTTCAGTTGCCACAGGGAAACAGGTTTTCTGTGAGGCTACAGGAAATGAAGGGTGTCAGAGGTATAAAACCACAAGATTTTGAATGTGCACGATCAATATACAATACATGACAGCTCATTAGAAGCGTGTCAGCAAGGATACCTTAGACTCGGGCAAGGAGCTGAGGAGATGATGCAGCAGTCTTCCTGAGGTACAGAAGGGGAGGGAGGGTCTCGATAAACAGAATGTGGGAAAAGGGAAATCTTTAATTTATTCCCCAGGGTACTGGAGGCAAATGTGGCAGTGGTGTCACAAGACTGTGACAGTGCATTGTGGATATGTCAGCTATGTCTGCTAGCTGGCATGTCTGTAAGTGCTAGTACATGATAAGACAAGTACTGTTAATTGCAGTGATGTGTACGAGCCCCGCCACAGCCCAGGAGATACATGGTGCCAGGCCCTGTTCAGAGGGAGAAAAACAGAGTAGTCTGTTTCCAAGAGACTTAACCATGATGCTTTTCTGCCTGAAAGGATACATTTGACATATTAAATCACCAAGGTAGGTTTATCTTGGCAGGGCGTTCTTCCTGATGATGTGTTGCTTAGCCTGTATTATCTAATGGGATCAGCCAACAATCTGCTTGGCTGACAAATGACCAAAACATTGGTGAAGAGCTGAAAAATCTGGTATGCTTCAGGCCTCCTTAGCATCCAGAAATCGCCAGGATAGAGAAGTTTTTAGAGGCCACTGCAGTGAGAGCCATTGCTCCTTTTAAAGATCTCCAAACAGGGGCTGTAGCAACAGGACAAGGGGTAATGGGTTCAAACAGGGGAAGTTCAGGTTAGATCTAAGGAAGAATTTTTTTAATGTGAGGGTCATGAGGCACTGGAACAGGTTGCCCAAAGACGTGGTGAATGGTCCATCCTTGGCAGTGTTCAAGGCCCGGTTGGACAGATAAATCCAGCCAACAGGGCTTATGAATTCATGCATGGAGTTTCTCCTACAGGCCGTAAAGTGTTCCCACCCCTGCTAGAAAGCTCAGCAGGGTCTGATGCAGGGTCCCTGGAGCATCCATCTCCTCTCTGAAGCTCCAAAGGACGAGACTGCCAAGAGAGCAGCCAGGGGGCTTATGGGTGCTTAGGAGTCAATTGAAAAGCAGGCTGAAAACTGTTAGGATCAGCCTGGCAGCCCAAAAGTAGGTCTCTTAGGCAGCTCTGGATGCAATTTGGTATGAAGTGCTTTTCTCCTCTTTTCATCTTTTGGTGAAACTACTGTTTCTTGTCTATGAAGAGAGCCTGTGCAATGGCATTTCTGTCCAGGCATGTTTCTTGTCTCTAGTATGATAAAGTAATGTTTTACCTTTGTTTCTGACACCATCCAGAAAGTTAATGGCATATGAAATCAGAATGTCAATCATTTTTCTTCTGCTCTGAGCCTGGTGCAGATAAGAAAAAAGAATGATATTGTGTGGATGGATTATATGGATCAACCTTTAATTTTGTTTGGTTTGCACTCTGGTAGCCAGCTTGTTTCTCTTTGGGTAATTATTAATTGAATTTGCTTCTCTATAAATGAAGTTTCCAGGTCTGCTATGCCCTCAAATATCTCCCTCTCGGAGCAGCATCCTCAGGGTGAGGGAAGAATCTGCTTTAGGTAAGGAGATCTGAACAGCTCCATGCTTTTGCCTGTGTCCTTACACGGCTCATTGCTGGGCTTTCTGTGGATGACAGCCTCTGCCCAGCTCTTCACATACATTCCCCACCAAGTATCTCCTGCTAGCCTTGTCTAAACTCCCCTGTGCCACTGATGGAGGGCACCCTGCAGTAGAAACCCAAATCCTGGCCCTAGCATGTGTGCTTTTTTTCAACTGAAGGCAAACCATCTAGGAATTATATTGTGAGAGCTGTGTACAGGTATAACTCCTGGTTTACAGTCACACATAGAATGGTTTGGGTTGGAAAGGACCTGAAGATCATCCAGTTTCAACCACCCTGCCATGGGCAGGGACACTTCACACTAAACCATGTGACCTAAGGCTCTGTCCAGTCTGGCCTTGAACACTGCCAGGGATGGAGCATTCACAACTTCTTTGGGCAGCCTGTTCCAGCGCTTCAGTAAAGAACTCACAGTAAAGAACTTCTTCCTTATGTCTAGGCTGTTTCAGTTTAAACCCATTGCCCCTTGTCCTGTTGCTACAGTCCCTCATGAAGAGTCCCTCTTCAGATACTGGAAGGCTGCTATGAGGTCTCCACGCACCCTTCTCGTCTCCAGGCTGAATAGCCCCAACTTTCTCAGCCTGTCTTCATACAGGAGGTGCTCCAGTCCCCTGATCATCCTCGTGGCCCTCCTCTGGACTTGTTCCAACAGATCCATGTCCTTTTTATGTTGAGGACACCAGAACTGCACATGATACTCCAAGTGAGGTCTCACCAGAGCAGAGTAGAGGGGCAGGATCACCTCCTTTGGCTTGCTGGTCACGCTTCTTTTGATGCAGCCCAGGATACATCTTTTCAGTAAGGCTGAGGAAGTCCTTGTGTAGTTAGTGAGTGTGATTTACAGAGTTGGGAGGAAAACAAAAGAAACATGTTGTCACCTGATGATTTACTGACCTCCTTCTGGAAACAAACCAAAAGCCGACAAGTTAAGCAAGGGCAGTACAGTTCCTGATAGATGAAGCCCTTTGCAGAAGTGTTTGCAGGTACATTTTCCTGTGTCTGTTCATTCACAGACGTGGAGGAGAGGCATAGGGTGAAGAGAATTAGCCTGTCCTTATTAATATGTATCTGCCAATGCACAGCTGTGTCACCTGGTGTACACACCTCATCACCCAAGGCTGTTCAGGCCACTCCATTTTTTTGCATGCTCTCTCTCTCCCTTTAGTTTAGAGTGGGATTGCTCATTCACTGATGTGCAGCACTTACTTGTGTGTACAGGAGTCTTTTATGTTGTCTAAAGCATGAGTAATAATGGAGAAAATTAATACTAAGAGAAGTTTGTGAGGGTGCTGATCATGCGGTTTGCATGCCGATTACACCACTACTGGAGAAGCAGGCTTAGACTTCCAATGCAGAGAAGGAAAAAGAGAATGGTAATGTAATCATGGACCTGAAAGAAAACAAGGGTCAGCTATTAGGGACTAATATATAAAAGACCTCTCAATTGGCTAATAAGGTCCATGGCTTATAGTGTTTAAGTAGGTTGGATTCTAATAATTTCATTTCTGGTCACAGGTGCTGCACTGCATCCTTGATCTCCATATTCTTTTTTCTATTGTTGTGTTCTAGTGCATCTTAAAAATGCAGCTCAATTAATTCAGTGAAAATTGGTATAAAGTAAAATTTATGGTATTAAAAAGTAGCCCATTTAACACATAGTAAGCAGCTAGCTTGTCAGGCTTAACAATAAAATATTGTTAAGACATCAGTGTGGAAGTAGAGACTGTGTATTAAGTTTCTGACAGCCAGATTCATGTTTACAGCTTTCAGAAACCCAGCAGCTTTATAGAAAGCATTATAATTTCTGTAGAACAAAGGAAGATTACTTCAGTGCTCATCTATGCCAACAAAGAATAATTTTCTATGCTTTCTCTCAATTCCTTAAAACCCATTTTTCCTTTCAAGAAAGCACTAAATTTGGAATAAACAAAATGCTAGACAGAGCCTCTAGAGCAGAGCTAAATTTCTTAAAGTTGTTAATTTATTAACATTTTTAAAAATTGCACTCCTGGTCCTGAAATTATTCATGGTGTGATGCTAGTTCGCTGATAACCTTAGCTGCAAAACATTTGGTGGCTGAGTTACAATAGTGGTGCTGGTGTGATTATGTCCACTTTTATCTGACTCATTAATGCATTTGCCCAGGACTAAGGAAACCTCTGGCTGATGGAGATTAAACCCAGATATATAAAAGCACATTGTTGGGGTAGAGCTCCCCCAGTGCCTACTGCTGATCCTGTTCTCCTCTAAGCTAGCTCTAAACTAGCTTCCTCTGTGTAAATCAGCTCCCTAAGGGAAAGACAAACCTGCTGATGAGGTTCAGAGGGTTCGCTCTTTGCTGATGGTGGGTTTGGCATCAATGTATAAGGTGCAACAACTCTAACAGGAAGGGTTACAGAGGGACTTATTTCAAAATGCTCCCTAACCTATATCTAAAGTACGTGCCTGGGCTTCAGTAGACCCAGGACAGAGTTCACTCTGCTAAGCTCCCAGTGCTTCCAGTTTAATTGCCCATATAGTTAATTATGTGTACAAGCTGTAACATCCTGTTCCCACCGTGGCTGAAGATCTGGTAAATAATGACCTGGGAAGTGGCAATGAGGGTTTTGTTCTCTCTGGCACAAGGGGGAAATGAACCTAAAACTATCACAGCTTGGGAAGCTTTCCGAAGCACTGAGTATTCCTGCTGATAATTTGTAGTTCTTTGCTAAGGTATAGAAGAAACTCAGCTTTGATTTTGTTTATTTTTCTTATAAGGATCTTCAAATGGAAAATATCAATGTTTATTGAATAGAAGGTCTCACATCAAAATTACAATATTTTTACATGCCTGTAAAATCCTTTGACTTGGATTTGATGGATTTGAAGGAACCTGTCTTATCTTATTTGAAGAGGGACTGACACATTCAATTTGATTTGATCTGCACCAATGGCCCCAAATTATTATGGTTCAGATATTCAACATTGAAAATCACTCTGTTGTAGGGCCATTTAGCAGAATGGAAATGTCAGAGCCTGCCAAATCCATTACTGATTTGGAGATACTCATGTGTCTTCAGACAGTATTTTCTGTAGAGGAGTGCATTGTTGCACTGACACTGGCACTTACACATAGACTGTGGAACCCTGCATCTCAGTTGAAGAGTATAATCTACCAACACCTGCCTTAATTAGGTGTTTTCTGTGTAATCAAGTAATTTTCATGTAAGTCATTTTGTGATACTAGTATTTTCAAATCTATAGGCAAATGGTATGTGAGAGACAGGACTCTGTAATTTAGCAGAGAGCAATAATGGGCGAGATTTTCTGTGATTTGTATGTACAATATGATTATATGTAGGGGATCCCATTTTTCAATTAAATTTTTGAAGTCGGTATGAAAAGTTGGCATCGTGATTTTGCTTGGACTACATAAATATTTATTCTACTCCAATTAAAAGAACAACTTGACTACAGTATGTTTGCCTGGGCTGATTTTTATTACTTCTGCTCAAATGCTTTCTGGAGGAACCAATGGTTTCTTTCTTCTTTATCCCTATCCAATCTCTTCCTAATACTATTGATCTGCACATTGTACATTGTAGCTCATTGCAGTGAATCTCACAGTGAAAATCAAGTTGAGATGAGTTAAAAAAAATATTGCTGTGCTTTCTAAAGTGGGCAGAGTAGTAATTTGGGGTATTGCAGTTTTCTGGGGTGCTTAGAGGGGTATATTTTTAATAAACAGTTGTATTATGCTAAGTATATGGATGTCATACTAAACTTTGGCTCCTTCTTTTAACAGGCTGTGAAAGAAGAGTCCTCTTTTGTAAATCCCAGTAAGACCTCCAGCCTGCAGGACCCTAATGTAAGGTCTGTTGTTTCTTGTCCATAGGGAAAACATCAAATAAATGCGTGATGTAGTGAGGCGTTTTCCACACAGTATCTCCAACAGATGTTACAGGTCAATTTGCTCATCCTCAAGTTCACCAAGCAATGGCCTGTCTGTCAGAAGGGTGCTTATTTGATATGAGTATACCACATATAGTTGAAGAATTAATAAAAGATCAGCTTTAAAAATTAGATGGAGTGTATATACTTAAACAATTGATAAATTCTGAATGTAAAAAACAGGTCCAGTGACAAACCTAAACACCTTGTGTAAAAATAAGTCAGTTTTCATAACTTCTGTATCAGAAGCGTGCTAGATACTCCAAATCGGAATATCCTTGTGTTTTTCTGATGGCTCATTTGCAGGCAGTAGTGACTAGTTTGGATTGTAGTTTTATTCTGATGAGGGTGGATAGAAGTCTTCCTTTTTTGAAATGGCCATTTTAAAGAAGCATATTAATTGTAAACATTATTCGAATGGCACAGTGTGCTGTCTCTCCTCAGGTCACTTGAGAGGAGATTACAGCATCAGTATTTGAAAATTGCCTACCTCTGTATATGTGGTAGCACAACCAATTTGGACATCTTAAGTATCCAAATCTGAGAGGAGAATTGAATGAAAGAGAACTATGAATTCAAAGCAATTACACTGGCTGTTAATCAGCTAATATGCAAGTGTATATGCTATGTATATGCATATTCAATATATACATGTATATGTAATATACATATGTACTAGAACCCTAGTTATCCCATTATTTTATTTTATAACTTTCTGGTGGTGACTCTTGCAGTTGAAAGCAGACATTTAAGTATCTTATAGAAAAGTCTGGATGAGGGGTGTAATGAATTACATTTGACAGATCCTTCTGAACGCAAAAAGGAACAAAGTTGTGAAAGTTTGTCCACACTTTCTTCCAATGTGTACCTTTCCTATAAGGTGAGAAATCACCAATAGTCTTCAAAAACCATTTCATTGAATATTCCTTTCAGATCAGATGGACTAGCAGAACTGCTCTGTTTGCTTAGTGAAAACATCTACCTAGAGAATAATGGTGAGGATGGCTGGTGGTGCTGAGGCAGGAGGAGATGTGAGAGACAATTATATTGCTTTTCATGGCAGTCCCTGTCTTGCCTGCAGTACAGCTGTGATTCCCAGTTCCACACATGTCTCTCATCTTGGGACACCCTACAGAGTTGTAACTTCTAGCCTGGCAGGCTGTGATTTTCCCATTTGTCCAAGGGGCTGCGAAGTCTACATGATATTTACAATCACCCATTTTTCTCCTGTGCAATTGCCCTTTCTAGGCCTCTACAACACTTTCTTATGTCCACTGAGAAAATTCATCACATACATTTACACAGTGACCTATTTCTTTGTTTAATAGAAATGGGTTTCATGTAGTGTCTTTGCCACAAGAGCCTTTGTGGGATTGCTGTCACTTCCAGAAGCACTTCAGGAGGACCTGGATTGTAAAGCCATGTGTGATTTGGAAAGTGGCTACAGACTTGTTTTCCTTACCTTCTGAAATTCTTACGCTGAACCTCTGTATAACATACGTAGAAAAGGCTTTCTATTTCACATTTGGTAATGGATTCTCTCCTGCTTCATCATGCTGAGCTGTAAATGAATTGTGTGCTTTGTAAAGTGAGTAAGAATGGCAACCTGGCTGTAAAGCTGATGTTACTGTTTTCTTTTGCACACATCCAAGCTTATAAACTCATAAAAGCCACTTTGGAGTTCTCAGTATGCAGCAGACTGGTGTATATTTGTCTAATATTTATTTTTATCTGGTTTATGTCAAGCATTGCTTCCTCTACCATCAGTTCTGCCAAATGATATGGTATTGTTTTATTGCTTTGTGTCTGTGTCCTGGAGGTACAAATATACAAGTAATCAGTGCTCAGGGATAGACCAATTTTAACAGCTTGCATTCAAAACTCAGAGAATAATGCAAAGTAAATACAGTATATAACCAATTCTCTCTCTCCTTCAAGTGGCTTTCCTTTCTGCAGGGACATATGCACTCTTGCAGACAGCCACAATGTGACCTTTTTGCTAATAACATCCTCTATAACCTCTATTTTGTGGACTTGGATGGACACAAACAAGCCTTTGCTCCTCTAGGAATTGCATCTGAGTAGAGCTAAGGGTTAGTTCATACTGATCAGACAAGTCACCTGGGATTTTTTTCTCTTGTTTAGTTGAGAAATACAAAAATATCCTTTCTACAAAAGCCCTCCCTGTGGAATATATTTTTTATTCCTGCAAGAACCCATGCAGACATTCCTGTGGACAACACCTGTATGAATATTTGCAGATGTTTGCTTGCTGAAAGATCTTGCCAGTTGAAACCAGTGTCTGTTGCAGCTATTTAACAATAAATACCCTTTTTATGCAAGGGTTTACAGCAGGGACAGAGTTCATGTGTTTCATTACTGGTGACTATACAATACATTAGCAAAATGCTCTGTTTTTTCCAAACCCATGCCACTGGGAAGTTTGTTCAGGCTACCTAGTAAACAAACATATGCAGTTTTGATCATTAACTGAAGTATGAATTGTTCATACAAATAGGGAAATAGAAGGTGAGAAAGAAGGGCAGTAGTGCTTGTTTGATTAAAGAACTGTGCTCTCTTTGCTACCATTTTGTCTGCTCATCCATTGCCACTCTGAAGATTACACTTCTAATGAATTAACTACTTGGATATGGCCTGTAATCCCCCTGAGCAATTATTTTAGCATCTGCCATGGCAGACTCAATTTGGCTAACAATTGCTATAGCTCTTTGTAGAATTAGTTCTGGTTCAACTAGTAATTACTCATATATATGTGTGGTACTGCCACTTTCACTGCAAGCAGGTCTCCAGTCATTTTGTTGGGCATGGCCTCGGAATTCTGTTGTGTTTATGCAAAGTTGCCATGTGTCTGTCAGTTTATTCGCCTGTTTTCTGTCTCTGTTGGCAAACTGCAGATACTTCTATATCTAAGTCACTTTAAATATGGGGGGGGGAAACACAGCTGAAGCTGAAATTGCACTGTTTTGTCAGCTTTCATGAGGGAAAAGCTTGTGAAATTTGCTCTGCTGTTTGGTGCAAAGGCTGGAAGTGTAAGGTTGTCTCATGATCTTTCTAATAGCTCACCTGTACATGCCAGATTAGGCTGTGGGAGCATGTGGGACCACAGAAGAGTACAGTCCTCCCTCCTCCCTGCTTTTGGAGAGCAGTGCTGTATGTTTCTTTATGTCCTTTCCCTCCTCTGATAGGGAGTGGTTTTTTTTTCCTCTCACTCTTTCAAGTGCTGGTCCCCACATTCAGTGAAGAAAAAGCTAGCGACTCAGTAACCCAATACGTACTACACTGTCCTACCTTACACTCTCCTTAAGCCTCAGTGAAGACTGATATACTGGGGACACAGTTGTACGTTCCCCTTGCTGACCCTGCTGCTTTGCTGATAACCCCTAGCAGAGCAGCAGACCTGCACAGCGACAGTAGAAGTTGTCTGCTTACCTAAGCTGGATCCGTGCAGGCTGCACATGATCAAAGTAAATGAAAGCAACTAATAGGAAGGGAATTTCAAAAGTGAGTTAAGCATGAGAGCTACGAGTTACCCTGATAAGAGACAGGAGTCCTATCAAGAAGAGTTAGACATGGCTTTATTACAGCATTATTGTAACAGACTTGAAAGCACACGGCTTCATCAACATCCAAGTAATATCTACAGAGAAGTACAGCCCAGCTATATAGCTGAGGCCTAAGCACTTTGGACAAGGCAGAACTTAACGGTGGTTTGCAGAATAAGAAATACCTGAAAAAAAAATTGTTATTTATGTATTTGCATTATTTTGGTTTTTATACTGCCTGTATTTAGTCAAGAAGAGATACAGCTGGTTTGCAGTTACTACTTTGCTTAGTGAGGCATGCTTTGCTAAGACATGTAGTAAAAATGTGTTTGTGTGGACATTGGTCTCATTTGGAATTTACAATGTCAGTCATTTTGCAGTGATTTTTAGTCGTACTTCTTTTGGGATGTAAGGCCCAAGTCTGCAAGGGAAGCAGTGATCACATCATTCCTTTTCGTGACCAAGGAGAGGAATTTGTCTTCCACTAGAGCTAGAAAAACCTTTCTAACAGAACATTTTCTTCTTTAGTGTTGTAAGAGAAGAATCTGTCATGGTGCTGAATGGGCCAGAAGGGATTATGAGGATTTAACAGAGGTATCTCCATGTCTGTTAGGAACTTCCTTACACCCAAGTATCTGAGTTGGTGTCCAGATGGAAGTGTTGAGGGAGAAGTGTTCGGGGAGAATTCAGTGATCAGATATCTAATTTAATTTAGGTTTGAGATTACTGCATGTTCTTATGTATAATTTTGGTAAGGCTCTCATCACCTGCCTCCAGATGGGATTTTTTTATTTGGTTCTTTTAGCCTTGAGAGATCAGGGTTCAGGCTGCCTGCCAGAACATTTGTATAATGAAGGAAGTATAAAATACTGTAGGAAATATAAAAATAACAATTGTGGTTGCCCAGTTTTGTATCACCTCCGGTTGCACTTTCCTGTGACCAAGAGATCCAGCCTGTCTACTGATTAGGGATGCAAGGGTTTTTCTCCTGCAGCGTATCAAGCAAATGTGAATCACATAGTCACCTCCTCACCTTTTTGTAAACCTCACCCATTTCTTAGTAAAGGGGTGGGCTACTAGAAAGATAACCTTTTGAACTTACTTTCCAGAAATTTACCCCTTAATTGTGAGCCTGCTTCATTTGTTAAATGTAATAAGTATATGGCTAACCACAGAACCCCATCAAGATAGTTCCTTCCATTATTCCTCAAAGCTTTGCCAGACAGAAGCACCATCTGTATAACTTTCCCACTGCCTATACACAAACTTCTCCTGAAGACTCTTTGAAGTGTCTGTTTTCCCTCTGGCTATGACCATCTGGGTAAGTCTAAAGCATGTATATGCGTGTGCGTGTGCACA